GTTCCACAACTCGCACCCTGATATCCTCCTCCCGCTGGTGGCCCACAACTAAAATTATGATGTCCTCTATTGCAACGTGTCCTGCAACCTTTACCATGGCCACCTAAAGCTGTTGCACTTTTTTCACCACTTACATCTTGACTACCTCCTTCAGTTACACTATCTGGATTTGCGTAGGCTGCACATGATGTTGAACATTTTGGTTTTGATGGAACACTTTGATTACCTCCTCCTCTACTACCTGTTGCACAACCTGAGCTGTGGCTTCCTGTTGTGGGCTTATTTTTTCCACAACTTGCACTATGACTCTCTCCTGTACTACCTGCTGTGCCACTTTTCCCTTGGTTTTCTCCTCCAGTAGCACTAGCTTCTGTTTTGTATGCGCTACATGATGTTGCACATTTTGGTTTTGATGGAGCATTTAGATTTCCTCCTCCTGCACTACCTGTTCCACAACCTGTACCACGACTTCCTCCTCCAGAACAACCTGTTCCACTATCTGGAGGTTTACTTTCTCCTCCAGATACACTTCCGGCACTTTGATTTCCTCCTGATGGTTGATTGCATGCTTTTGAACAATCTTGCAGAGAAATAGTAATACACAGTTTTTTCCCATCTCCAATATCAGTACATGTTGTCACTGGACTATTCACCAATGCTTTCTGGTCCTTAACATAAACAAAACTTTTTTAAATTTAAAAATAAAATTTATAACATTTTAGTAAGAATATTCATTAATTTAATGTTACTATTATTTATTTCTCCCTTCTTTTTTTTTTTATTGAGTGTTTGTAAAATAAAGTAGGATCAATGGCTAAATACTTGGATTGACGTGATACAGAAAATTTATTTTATGACTCATCATTCAGGAGTCAACTCTGGGGTCAGGAGATCCTTCTGGTCCACTCTCAACTATTACAAGTGGCTTTAAGTCATATCAAATCCATTAAGTATTAAGTATTGCATATGAGAGACCTATGTACTTTTGGGAATGGAGTAGCCAAGCGGGCTAACATGCATGCACAGCACCAGATGATAAACTGAAGTTTAAAGGTATAAAATAATCATGAGTTCGCGTCCCGGTGTTGGGAGGGTTCTTTTAGAGGCGAGGTGCCCAAGCAGGCTAACATGTGTGCACAGCACTGTGCATAGCCTGGCAACCCGGATAGAAGTTAGTGTGATAAAACAATACCAAGTTCAATTTGGGCTATTAACATAGCATAACATGGCATTAATCTCCTATCCCCATCCCCTGGCCCAGGAAACTCCTGTATAGTCTAAAAGGTGAGGACAAAAGAAAAAAAACGACCTGTGTACATAACATTTAATGACTATTTCTTGTGTTTAGGGCAGTTGTGAAACCTTTTTTAATCATAGGACTCAAATCATGGTTCCACAACATGGAACAATTTATATTTTCTATTCATATTTAATAAAATTGAACTGCACTTATGAATTATTTTATATGTATAAATTCTTATGATACTATATAAGAATTTATTTATGCACCCCTTCATTTTCACATGATGTTCTTATCACCTTCTCCTGAGCTAAGTTTAAGAAATTTTTTTGATTTAATAAAAAAATATATGGGCATAAGATTTTACATGAAATCCTATTTTGCAAAAATTTTAGTTTTTACTTTTCATGAATAATCTGATTTCTCTTTAATCATTTCTCCAAAACTACTGGAGTTTTTACTCCAAAACTACTTTTTTTATATATATATATATATATATATATATATATATATATATATATATATATAAATGCCAAAGTCACCTCCTGAACTCAACATTAACATCAATTTCTTAATAACCAAGACCAAAAATGTTAAGTGTTTTTGACCATTATACCAAAGCTTTATCCAAGGGCCTTGTCTATTGCTGGATATATTTTTTCTTAATTCAATGATAACTTTATTGCAAATATATTACATTCGTATTTTTTTTTCAGATTAACAAGAACATTGTTTTTATTATAAATTGTCAGTTTTAGTTTACTTTTTTAAGGGTTCTCAAGCACTGATTCGTCCCCAGTCTCATTATAAATTGCTGAGACATTTGAAATAAATAACTTCCATGACCTATTTCAAAATTGTTACTTTATTATAATGAAATTCTCCATGTTGACCTTTCATTCCAAGAGTCTCTTTCATCATGATTATACGATTTTAAATTTCAACTATGTATGATAAACTATGATTACAACATACTTGAAACAGGCTTCATTGTATCAATTCCCATTTTTCAATGAACAAAATCCCTGTATAGGGGTAGGCAGGGTAGGGATTTTAGGGCAATAAATTGCAAGATTATTACGCCTGTAGAATTCCTTTCCAATGATATTGCCATTATTTAACTTGTATAATGTTCTTTTACAAATTTGATCGTTTTAATTTTCAAATTAATGTTTTATATTATTTAGGTAGTTTCTTCTTTTTTATTATTATTATTTTTTCTTGTTCCTTTTTTTATTTTGACTGGCATGGAGATCTCATACGATGTACTATGAAAAAACAACTGAACAAACCATTTGGACTGTTATTCAAACTGCTTGACAGACATTCAAAATTATCCTTAATTAACAAACCTACTATCTGCTAATTACATGTAAAACCTTTATGTGCATACGGGGTAGTGCTAGGGGCCCTGACAAAATCTCAAACATTCAGAAAATTAAATTGTTCCAGTCAAAAGCACTGCAAAGAATTGTGAATGTACCATTCTCTGTGACAAATGACTTGCTGCAGAAGGATTTTGACATCCAAACTGTATTAGATACTATAAAAGAATACAGTGAAAACTATCAGAGACTGAATTACAATGTGAATCCTTTGGCCCAAACACTTATTTCCATCATGAACCCATACATCCTACCCCAATGGCTTTTGAGATTAGATTCTAACTTTACCACTACTTAGATATGAGTACAGATTTTCTTATTTCAAAAATACTTTCTTGATGGCGAATTTCAGGCATTTCAAAACATACTTGTAAACATGTACAGGATACATGAAAGAGCAAGTATGCCAGGTTTCAAAATTTAGGGATTTTTTCTCTTAATTAACAATATTTGGCTAACTTGTCTGGACTATATGAATAATGATGGCCATTATATCATATGAAAAAAGAAGAAATTTGGGCTAGTGCAACAGCAACTAGTATTTTTTAGTTATGGATGAACTAAATTATGGATTTTATCTTATTAATATTAAATATTAATTTAAAAGAACAAAAAATAGAACTGTATCAAATGTTGAGATATAATTGGAAAATTCCTATAAAGTTATTCCCTTGGGAATGAATAACCTTTCAATTGTTTGTCTTTTCAAGCATCATTAGGAGAGAAGCAACCTAAATCACATATATGCAAACCAAATACAACACATCCCTTATTTATGTGCTCAAGGCTTTGTGTTTGGAATTTTCCAATTACACCCTAACATTAATAATATAGAAGTCCTACAAGAATAAAGCATACCTTTATAACAAGTGTCGAGTGTTTATATTATTTTTTGTGTTGTAACTTTATTATTTAGGATTCAGAGCCATAAGAGCATGTGTGAACATGTTAAAATATGACACAATACCATTAGTAACAGATCCAGCATTTAATTTTGGGTTATTATGTTAATTATAATGATAGTTACTCGAGGTGGAAAATAAAGAAATTATATAAAGGGTAGTAAAAAAAAATCATTAATTACAAAAATATTATATATTTTAAATTTTTTTCTTGACTAGTGTTTATATTAAGTACCTGTACAAATATTGTGGTTTAAAAAGAGTACATATTTTGATTGTTTAAGTATTTAGCTCAGATCACTTATAGAAACAAATATGGACCAATGAAAAAAAAATATATTTTTTCATATTTTGGAGAGCTTTAGTGTGAAAGTACCTCATTCCCGTGGATCTGCCAATGATGACCATGAACATTTTATGTGATGTACATTTTTTTTATTTTAGAAATACAAAATATACATTTCTAATATTGCACATCAAGAAAATAGCCAGATTAAAAAAGTTTGCCTAATGGAGGATGAAATTTTTTTTGTTGAGGGTGCTGTTTTATGTAATTAATTTCTTTTATAATGTTGAAATACAAACAACCAACCTGTCGCTGTCTTTCAATTCCTGAGAAATGAGTTATTTATATTTGTCACTATTTTATTTTAATGGAATGGGAGCAACTTGTTGCAAGGCACTCTGTTCCCTAAGATTGACAACATTTTAAATTCAAACACCATTTGTTTGGCTGCATTATGGACACATAATTATATTATATCACTCATTTATAGTAACAGAATTAATTTGAAAACCATAATTTTTGAGTGAACACCACCGGGACAATTGCAATGATGTGAACTTTCAACTAGTAGAGTATCATTTCTGGGTTTTTAATGCCTATATATTTATCAAAACTTTATATTTATTCTTGACATATATGCAGAAGATTGACTTGTAAATAGTTCTCTATTCACTAAAAATCCGTAGTTAAAGTACGGATTAAAGAATAATTCTAGAAGATGATAGGAACTTAATGGGAATTATTCTCAGAATCTGAGGAGCTAGTTAAGGATTGAAATAGATTTTCAGTTGATTTAGAAAATATAGTTATTCCAATTTAAGTATTGATTGAATGTAACTGGGTGGAGGTTTTAAATATTTTTGGCACCGAATAGAAAAATTGTTGAAGTATATTAACTTATTAATACAATGATTGTTATTCATTCCTCTATAATGGAAGACAATTGTTGAAAGGAGGAACAAGGTAAGAGTATGTGCAATCATTAATAGAAGTTGTGGTATTGTGTCTGCAACAGAGAAGCAAGATTATACAGTTTGTCTTCTTTGACCGTTAATTTCTAAAACAATACAGTTTGATCATATTGTGCTTTTTTATAATATAACAAGTCATTATTTTGGTTACTTGATATAACTTCTGTTTTAATTACCTTTTTTTCTGATGCATGGTCTGCCATGATTCTTTCGCAGATGCAATGTTGCTGTGATGCTGCTGAGTGATGTGGTATTAGATGCTCCTCAGATCGACTGGTCCATTCACTTGCCGCTGATGCTCCAAGGCTGCTTTCTTGGTCTAGACCACTCCCGTCCTCTTGTCACTTCACACTGCAAACAATTGCTCCTTAACCTGCTTGTGGTCCTGGCTGGTCATTCAGATCACCTTGCCATCGCTCAGATACTGCTCAACAGGAAAACTATTCAGCTGGGGCTTGGAATAACCACACCTTCCATTCCTGTTGTTGAACATAATTTCACTGGTAATTGACAACTGTTTTATTTTTTTTTTATAATTATGAATTTATACAATCAAGTGTTACTATTATTGTATTCTTTTACATACCACTGTTTTCTTATGATTTTTTAAATTGCTAATAGATATTTCAATGGTCTCAGGAAATAACTTGGTTAGTAGAAACATGGTTAGCCAATTACATATGATTCATGAGCTATGAGGATTATTATCATTTTAGAAGGATACTGCAAATCATGAAGAAATTTCAAAGGTTGTAGGAGAACTATGAAGTTACCAAAGTGTGTAGAAGGCTTGGAAGATGATCACAATAGACATAACTTAGGAGGTCCATTTTTTAAATTACCAAGCTATTCTCTTTGACCATAGACATTTGATATCTTACTTTTTGTTATTCCATGAGAAAAAATACTGTCTGATTTGAGATTGCGCCCCCGGGCACCAACTTTTTGTAACTTTTCTGATTTAATTGATATGATGTTCGATTACTATGTTTTAAAGGGCCCTTTTTATGAAAATACTTGGTATTAGTATAGAACATCATATCATATTCAATATGTCCCTATTGACTGGAAGAACTGGGAATCATCCCAAAGTTTATTTTATCTGGGAGTTTATTTTATTATTATAATTGTCCCATCTTCATTTTCAGAAGTCCATTCTTAAACTTCAATTACCTCCTGACTAATCGTATCATCCTTAGAGTTTTCCTAAAATCTGAAAACCTACATGATACTGTCTATTGATTTACTACCTGAATTTAACAAGTTATAGGGAAGCATCCACATCCTAATATGTTCAAAATATTCTTTACTCATTTCAATGGATTCTGATCATGCACATTCTGGGAATGATGGCCTCAAATCATCTGTTGAATCATCTGGGCTGTGTTCTAAGAACAAAGATGGTACACTAAAGTTGAGGTTGCTGCAGCTATAGTACACTTCATGTATCTTATTCTCTAAAATCCCTAGACCAGTCAATCTGATTTCCTGATTGGCAGTTTTGTCCAGCTTGAGCTTGTCTACCCAATGTAATGCAGCTGTTGAATCTATATTTTTATTTAGTTATGCCGATTATTAAAAATAATAATAATGTGCAATAAAAACAAGGAAAGAAGTTGGAGATATTTACCTTTGATCTTTCAGAGGTATATTTAAGATGATTTTTGATTCATTGGCCTATGCTGCTTGTTCAATCTTTTGTGATCTAAAACATTTCAGTGATATTATCCTTATACACTTGTATTCTTAGGGTAATAAATTAACAATTTAAGTCATTATTTATGACACATTTATGCTATTGATATTATCATTAATATTTTGCAGAAGTTGATTTAGAATTTGATAGTTACCTACAAGGCCCTATGACATCTAATCCTCCTGGTGTTCCGGCCATCCCTTCTTCTGGTGAGTTATCTGTTTTTGTACCAAAATTAAATCAATTTTTAATTCAAATAAAATGTAATCAGCATTATTAATATAGGTCAAGTATATTTAAACAAAGTGATTTGTTTATTTGTGGCTTATTTACTCCAACTAGAATAGGAAGGATAGGTTGTCTTACAATTAACCAAAATATACTAAACATAGTGATGAAATTGAAATTTATTGTGTGGGTTGCTAGGACTATACAGTTTAGGAACGAAGTTGGACGAAGCCTCTAAATGTTGATCAATGTGGAGTATTAAAGTAAATTATACTTGATCAACCTTTTTTTCCCTCGGACAACAATATACTGCCTTATCTAGATCAGGTTATGGAAAAAAACAGTTTTTATTTATATCATGCAGAGAAAAAACAAAAAATTTAATTGAAGTACTGAAGTACTTAATTTTTCTTTATATATTTCAAAACACACTGTGTTGCTAAAATAAATTTTTAGTACAGTTTTTCTTAATGTCTTTTTTTTACACATAAATGTTGGATGTCGTTTAATTAATAGGATACACTTTGTAATTTATACATCACGTATGTGAAAGAGGCAGGATGATAAAATCCAAATGGAGTGAGATTGCGGAGCACAGCAAACTTCGATAATTTTTAAAACTACCTCAGCATTTTAAATCTATCTAATGCAATCACGCGTATTTTCCCCCTGAAATTCATCACTTTTCGAATGTTTTACAATGTTCTGAACCTTAAGCCACTTTGGTGTTCAATAATACTTGTTCCATAAATTATAAATGGGCACAAACTGAAATGATTTTCTAATAATTTTGCTCAAACATTTACTGTGGCGTAAAATTTGAGCATAAAAGCTACTTACATTTTTGGGTTTTTCATTGATGCATTTCACCTTGGCTGAAAAAGCACAGCTGTCTGTTTGTGATTGAAATAGGATAACCTTAAACTACATCTGCCTTATCATATGATGTATACTTACCATTTTGCTTTTTATTATTTAAAAAAAAATTATGGTTAATTTTTATTTTACAATTGTAAAAATATATATATAAATAAATAACAATTAAAAAAAACTTTATTATCAGATACAGGAAGGGCCTTGAGTATAGGTGGTGTTGATTTTTGACTTATGATTGTACTAGGAGTGATGTGGTCAGCATCAACTATTTCCAATCTGTTCATTATAACTTAGCAGTATGTTTGGGAATTATGTACAAAGTATAAGATGTTTGTGTATAATATCTTATATAAAAGGCTTTTAAAACATTTTAAAATGTTATCATCAAAAAGTACTATTTTTTATGTCACTCTGTAAGTTGCCTCTATGGTGTGGCCAATAGCAACCACTTTGATTATTAATTGTAGAAAAAGGTTTCAGTTTTAAACTATATTTTTTGGTCAAGAAAACCTTCCTGATTTAAATTTTATTAAATTAAATTTAAAATTTTTAATGGAATGAAATTATCATGATATGCTATATTTTAAACTTGACCTTCTAACTATTAGAGTTAATGAGAGTATTTCATTAATGCTCTAATATAATCATTAAACAATAGTAATAAACAAGTTATTGATAAATGGTTGTCAATATTAGAAAAATTATTTGATATTCAGAACTAAGAGTTTGAAATATACTTTGATCAAATAAATGAGTGATTAAGGTATCTTAGCCACCATAAGCACATCTCAGATTGATGTTCTTTGGTGACTGAATTATATCTATCAATGCATTTGGCTTTGTTACCGTATGTCAATCAGATGGGGTTGTTGCAGTGGAGTCAGAAGGTAGTGGATCTCGATGATTTTTATGAATCAAGTATTTTATTAAATCTTCAATTTTTCAAGGATATTTTTAATTAATTAATAAAATTGATGATTTGGATGAAATAACTTATTAAACCCTTTTACCTCCTCTCAATTCTTCAATTCATTTTATTTATTACTACAACATTTCAGGCCAACTTTGCCCATTTTCAAGTCGAACTTTTTATATCCTTATCTTATTCTCACCTTTTTCCAATAATTATTTCATAACTATTTATGAAAAGTCCATTCCACAATTTAAAAATACTTTTGGGCACGTCTTACTATTTAAAAATTATTTTTATTAAAAATTTGCATTCCAATGCTATACCTTTTTGTCCACTCTGAGTGTAATAAAGTTACAGATATGAGAGATTAAAAAGTACGAGTTCGCCAGGATTTTGTCTGGTGTCGGAGAGGATTTAAAATTCCTCGCCCTCACCCTCCGTCCCTGGAAAATCCCATATAGCCTAAAAGGTAAAGTAGGGAAGAACAGAAATAAAAAAAAAGAATGCGTATTGAATTCAAAAAAGAGGTCCTTCTATTTACAATTGTGAAGTCCCTATGAGAAGGTTAACAGCTTGGATGAGGAATTAATTAAAATCTTCTTGAGTATCTTACATCAACCAAAGCAAGAACAGAAAATTGGAAAGTATTGTTTGGTTGTGTTTATAAGACCTTGGACTTCCTTTCTTTAATGTCCTCAAGGAGGATGCTAGTCATGGCCTCCCATTTTGTTTTCTCAAACAAGTATAAGAAAAACAATTTAGTAAAGGTAAAATTAGAACTGTGGAATACACTGAGGTGGATATAGTTATGAAAGGCATAATGATTACTTTAGACTCATGCATGTGAGTGTAAAGTAAATTGAAGTTGAGATACATGAACAAACACATATACCCCAAAAATTGGAGAACAGCCCTTTTAACATTCTTTGATTCAATTAATTAGAACCCTTATTTACTTGATTCATTAATAATATCAATAATTTTGTAAATAACTTAGACAACCTTTCAATCCAAACATGTGGGTCATCATGAGGGCATGGTTTGAGTACAGAAGGTGTTCAGTACTTGAGGTCCTTAGTTCATTTTTGCAGTTTGGCTACTTAACCCTGAAACACTCTGTATATATTTATAAATATGAATATATTTTTCTTTTTTATTTATTTAAATTTGCTGTTTATTAAAACATTATTTACACAAATCATTGTTTATTCATTAATAATTTCGTTTATAGGAGTGGAATCTGGCCCACCACCCCCAGCTCCAGTGATAGTAGTTGCGGAGGAGCCAACAAACTGGAGCCAGCCTGGTCCAAATATGCCATTAGCTGATGTTGTGAAATCTCTAATTGACTTCATTGCATCTAGGTATCCTTGTGTTGTTCTTGTATATCTTTCTTTTTATGATATGAAAATTAGAATGATTAGTCCGAGGAAGAATGTTGATGCTCCAGATAATATAATTTTTTTATTATATTTATAACATAAAATTTTAACAAATCACGCCAATGGAGCACATCAGACTTTAAGTAATTATAACATTTTTTTAACAACACAACCTTAACATGTAATGTAACATACATTCTTTTAATTACCTCTTTTCTAGCCATAAATCGCTATGAAAATATGGTATTTTAAGTTTTGAAGATGGGAATAATTTTCTCTTAACGTCAACTTGACATGTAAATCAACAAATAATCCAATTGTTTGTGTATCTGGAAGTTTTCATTGCCGAAATTAGAGAATATTATACAGCTTTCCAGCAAAAAATGAAGAATCTTAATTCATATTTCTTTGACTCAAATGCTTGAAATGCTTAAATTTTCCAACTTATTTTTTTTTAGACAAAACCAGGTGGTATGGAATTATGAAGATATCACAGCAAAAGTCTGGTCTGTGCGGAGTGTTGAACAGATGGATATATTCTTACAGCATGTGCTGAGAATCTTCCGAGAGTCCCTACCTCACGCTCACATCTCAGAAAGGTGGGGGCAGATTGCTCTGCAGCTCGGTCTCTCCTGCTCTTCGAGGCATTACGCTGGGAGGTCACTACAGGTAATATTTTTGATCTTATCAGTTAGGTTGATTATGATACACAAATAGTACTTTCAATATTTATTCTGAATAAGATGAATACAGTTGAGTTTTCCTTATTGGTTTTAATGGAACATATTACAGGTTTTTCGATCATTACATTTGCCAATTACTTCTCGTATGCTGTCAGAAATTCTGTCTAGGCTTGTTGAAACTGTTGCTGAGCAGGGAGAAGACATGCAGGTAACACTTTATCATTTTATACACACACATATATATGTATATGTATATATATATATATATATATATATATATATATATATATATATATATATATATATATATATATATATATATATATATATATACATATATATTACTCTTTTTAATTTAATTTTAATATTGTCATGGATCTTATGAATACTGTACTGAAATATTATACTGATTTATTTCAATTTACAGCCATTTACTTTCATTAATGATTTTTTCTCAATATTTATGTTAAAGATATAAATATTTAAAGAAAGAATTTTTTTAGCTCTAATTTTCATCCTCTCATATGCATAACAATTTTTATATTGTGTCATCTAATTTTTCTCTAGAGTGTATTGTGAAATAAAGGAAACTTTTTAATTTAAGAATGGAAGTCAGTTATTTTAATTTTAATACACAATTAAAATGATACACACTTAACAGCAAGTTCTGTCCCAATTTCCTGATTTAAATGTATTGTTACAAAGTTAGTATTGCTTGACTTTTATTTATTATCAAAAACCATTTCAAATAGGAGATAACAATGAAGATAACGCATATTCACTACTGCTTAATATTTTCTATTGGGTAAGTTTTATCTATTTAGTAATATTTATATATTTGTATTTTTGGCAACTGATATACATGGTGTTTGGTGATTGCATGGCACTGTTTTAATTATGTGTTCACTAACACAAAATAAACAAAAAAGTTCATATTAACATATATCTCAAATTCATTTATTAAACAGATATCAAAGGTTAAAGATTTATTATTTATTTACTACACTAAGACTGACTGTACAAATTTTAACGTTTTTAATACTAAATAACAGGTTTTAATCACCTGATAAACAAATGAACAATAAGCAATGACAGTAGTTGCTTATCCATTTGTCTAGTTCTGTTTGTTTTAGTGTGAATGAATACTTTGACACATTTTGATTTATGATTATCATGGGAAACACCATAAATTTATTCACTTTTGCAGAACAGAAATTTTTTTTGCTGTTCGAAGATATCGTGAACAATTTCCTACCCAAAGAACACCAAGTCATAAAACGTTTTTAGGCCATTGAAAGACGCCTTAGTGATAATGGTACGCTAAAACCTATACAAGAATGTCAGTCGACAAATATTTTGACAAATTGCAAACGTTGAAGAAGAAATACTCGATCCTATTCAGTTATCTCCTACTACTAGTACCAGAAGATTGTCATGTCGTTTCGATGTTTCCTCTACCAGTGTATGGCGAACATTATTCGAACAACAATAGTATCCATTTCACGTATTGAGTAGGCAACATTTGTTACCACAAGATCATAACAAGCATAGAAATTTCTACAAGTGGTTAATTTGACAACGCACACGAGATCCTAACTTCCTGAACTGCATTTTGGTTACTGATGAATCTTGCTTTACAAGAAAAAGGATTCTTAATTTTTTAAATACCCATACTTGGGCTGAAGAAAACCCTTATACAAGGCTGTTGGACATTACCAACATACCTTTTCTTTAAATGTCTAGTGTGGGCTTCTAAGCAACAATATCATCGACCCCTTCTTTTTTCCACCTAGGCTGTCAGGTATATCTTACTTGTTTTTTTTGCAAAATAATCTTCATGAACTCCTAGAAGATATTCCACTAGGCATTAGGCAAAGGCTGCGATTTATGCATTTTCTAATAGTATCACTGATTATTTAAATGCAACTTATGGAGACCGATGAATTGGTCGAAACGGACCTGTTAAATGGCCACCACGATCTCCAGATTTAACGCCATTAATTTATTTTGTGTGGTGCTGGATGAAGTCTAAGGTTTATTCTGTGACAGTTGGCACGCAAGAATAACTAAGAAATCAAATCGTGGAAGCCACAGTAACTATCAAGCACCATCCTGATGGTATACAAAGAGCCAGAGAAGCATGGATTCGTTGTGCTGAATGTTGCATTGAACAAAACGGAGGCCCTTTTGAACAGTTCCTCTAAATTTTGTAATAATAATAAATAAATAGTAGTAATAAATATTTAACCTTTGATATCTGTTTAATAAATGATATTGAGATATATGTTAATATGAACTTTTTTGTTTATTTTGTGTTAGTGAACACATACCTAAAATATTGTCGTGCAATTTTGAAACACCCTGTATATTAAATTTTTTTTTGTCCTGCCTTAAATTTATCAACACAAGTCTTATTTTGATGCAAAGTGATATCCTGAATGTAACTAAATAGTTATATAAAATTTGAACTTAAAAAATTTTACTATTTAAAACTAAATTAACTTATTAATTTTATAAAACTTTAAGGTAAAAAGAGGTTTATATTGAGACTTTTTATTATATTTTGGTATTTGTTATTTGAGCAAGTAAAAAATAAAAATAAATAATTCTTATTAAATCCTTTCACTTCCTCTCAATGCTTCAATTCATTTTATTTATTACAACGTTTCAGGCCAACGGGAGATAAATAATGCTAATAAAAGTAATAAGTGCCTTAATGAAAAAATATTTTTAAAAAGCTATAATTATAATAATAAAAAAAGTGTGATAGTAAAAAAACTAAAAAAAGGAGGATTGATAATGGATTTTTTTAAAATCATTGAAAATAATGATAATGAGCAGTTTTTTTAAATTGAAATATATACCAGGAATAACTAATGAAATTAAACATGCATTCAAAAAATATGACCATAACAATATAAAATTTAGTGTATATAATAATAATAAATTAAACAAATATAAAGGATAAAATTAAAAAAGAGAATAAACAAAATGTTATTTATAAAATTAATTGTAAGCAATGCATAGATGAATTTTACATTGGAGAAACATCTCAAAATTTGCAAAATAGAATAAATCAACATAAAATCAATACTAAAAACCTGAAAAATATCAATGTCACAGGTCTAGTAAGGCATAGTATCATAAATAATCATATTTTTGATTATGATAAAATATAAATTTTAAGTAGAGCGGAAGATAACAAAATTAGAAAGTATCTGGAATCTATATATATGACTAAAAATGTTAAAAATGTGGTTAATTTCAAATTGGATATTAAGAGGATTTGGCAGCACTATGTTGACATAACTAATAAATTAAAATTTTAATCAAATTAAAGTAATTTAAATAATCATTCAGCAAAATTATTAGCAATAATATGAAACTTAAAGCATTAAAATACTTAAGAATTAAAACTTGCAGCAATCTTAATCCCAAAGAACATAATAATATGTAAGCCCACAGCTCACAGTGGACATTAGGATATAAAAAAGATAGGACGAAAATGTATAGCATTGGATTGAAAATTTTTAATAAAAATAATTTTTAACTATTGAGACGTGTCCAAAAGTTAATTTATAAAATAGTAATGTAAAATGTGGAAAAATTAGTGGTTTGGCCTTTTCTTATTTAAAATGCAATGTTAAATTTGCAGTATCTTTAAATTGTGGAATGGACTTCATAAATTGTTGTGAAATAACTATTGGAAGAAGGTGAGGGTAAGATAAGGACTTAGTTAGCCCATTCGGCCACCCCGCCCACTAATATAATATAATTTATTGTTTTTTTAAAAATTTTATATTTCAATTTATCTAGGGATATGTTACGGAACTGCTCCTTACTCTTGAAGCAGCTGTTGATTCCCTTGAATCAGATTTTCGTCCTCTCGACTGCATGAAGGAGATTTTTAAATCGACACCCAATCTCAACAACAAGGAAGGTGGAAAACGTGGGCCTGGTATCCCTGGAATCTGTCCACTTTCTAACAACCATACAAGAAGTACATCTTACTCTGTTTCCTATTCCATGAGACGTGCAAATTTGGATACAAAGAGTGAGTGAAAGTATTATTATTTATAATTGTTGGTTTTATGGTCTACACATCTTTTAGAAAAGGAAATGTAGTATAGTTACTTAGAATTCATTAGACATTTAGTTTAGTTAATTACTTAGAATTTATTAGACATTTAGTTAAAAATTAGTTTTTTGTTTTTCTTAAAACCAAAATACATTTAGAATACATAACAGTTGACCGTTGTATTTTAGAGGAAGGAGATGGTCCAGGGTGCCAGTCGTAAATAGACTAAAATAGTGGCAAAACTATTTTATTTCTAGTCAACTTTTCGACCTGACTTTGCAGGTCTTCTTCAGAGAGGTCTGTTCAGCAAAGAGTTTCTCTTAAAACTACCAGTTTAAGTGCAACTCCTTGCTGAATTATGCTAGATTCTGATTTTGTATGAGATTTAAGAACAAAAAAACATAAATATCTGTACAAACAGTTCATTCATAAGAAACTTGTACTACTACAACCTGTGAAGGAACTTAGATTCAGTACTATTGTAGTAGATAGTCCCCTGTATTTACTCCTTCGTGTGACATTGTGTGAGGGAATAAGAAGGAATATATAATATATAGGAATGTGAGGTTGCACTGTGAATTGTACTCAATTGTGCAATGGACAAATTGTTCATTGAAAAATCTCATATCGATAAACAATCGATGAAGAAGGAAAAAGGTCCGGTCAGGTAGCAGCAGCTGGAAGAGAACAACAGGCACTTGAAGCCTGGCCACGAAGACGAGAAGACGTCATATGAGAAGAGAGACTTACTACATTGAAGACTAATAATATCAAGCCTACAGTTATAAGACTTTTATACATTAATTTATTACAGTGGTCAAAATAAATTGTTTTATTATACAGGAGTGAAAAGTCATTTTATTTAGTTGTCCTATATGCCTCACAACTGAAAAATAACAAACCAGGTGAGTCAATTCATTCAAAGTACTTCATTACTCAGTACCACATTTCATATATATATTCTTATTGTGTCTTCTCACTCAGTGTCACAAAATATATTAGATTCCCGAATTCCCAACAACAGTTAAACACCCTCAAAAAGTCTATATCCAATGCCGGGGTTTTGTTTTAATATTCAGCAATGTAAATAACCTAGTTCCCCGATATAAGCGGAAGGCTATTCGCAATTCCTGCCAAAACAAATTATTTAAAATTAACTCTTAACATGGTTATTTACGCTATGTAGGGGAGGTACTGTTTCTTGGTCAACAGTTGTACAAGTAGGTGATTTGACCGAGATCATGCTCAACCGCCAGGTTTTCCTCCACAACTGATTACATAATTAAGAGTACCCACTTTATATAGGCTGGGTGTACCATCCATTCATAATAAACAAACCATTAAATTTTATGAATTGAAAAATACTAATTATTTGATTTACAATATTGCACTTATATTTATTTTTATTGTCTATGGCTTATTTGTTTTTTTTAAGATTTTCAACTTTTATTTTCATTTTTGATGCTTCAATTTTTCTTTAGTTCAGTGATTACATTACATGTGTTAGTTTATTATTGATTAGATCCAGGTAAAGTTAACTATCTAATGTTCTTCAAACACTTTTCACAATTCAAACAACAATAAATTATTATTTTAAATTACAATTTAGAACAGAGACCTAGTGGTTTAAACCATTCTTTACACCTATTTATTTATTTCATTTGCTGATATAAACATTCCACAATATACTTAAAATAAATTTACATTCCCGAAAGACACTCACTTGCTGACAAAATTATTCAATGTTAGTTTCAAAACAATATAGCCTTTATACTGAAAGAATACTGACAACAATCTATTGACCAACCACTTAATTAAGTTCTTTATCATAAATAACCTGGTTAATTCTATTAATCTTCTTTATGTCATCATGATGGTTCTGGTTTTTTTTTTTAAGTTGTACGATCTTCTAGATTCTTTTCTAAACCTAGAAATCATAAGAATTAAAAGAATATAAATATTTTTTGTATTTTTATGACTTGAAATCTAGAACCATTATTTTATGAGATTTAATGTTATAAAAATTACAATTCTCCAAATTTATTAAATTATTTAAAATTAATGTTATGAATAATTAATCGACGTGGATAAACGGTTTATTTAATTTATTTTTTGCTATTTATTTATTTTTTTGTGGAGAAGCTTTTCAATTTTGATATTTTTATTTACTCTCTTCTCATTGTTTGATTTTCTCTTTAGTCATTTGATGTTTTGATTGATTTGATGACATAATTTATTTTTTATTTTATTCCACACTAACACAATGAAACCTATATCTAAGTCACCTGAGGTTTTCAGTCGATCTGAGGTGTCTGACGGTTTTGTCAGAGGTTGACAGTGGAGGAGGCTCTGGGGTTTGCTCTGGTATGGGTGGAGGTCGCTGCTCTCCTCGTTACAACACTAACCTGACTCGCTCTCGCTCAGCCCAGTCGCTACGACTGCTTGGAGATTCAGCTGCAACTCAGGAGGATAAAATGACTCTTCTCAGTCAGCTGTTCTGGCTCTCTCTGTCATTGCTGCAATCAGACTATGAGCATGAGTTTCTATTGGCTCTTCGCCTCTTGGATAGGCTCCTCCATCGACTACCCCTCGACAGGCCCGATGCCAGGGACAAGGTAGACAAACTACAGTCACAGCTCAAGTGGACCAATTTCCCAGGGCTTCATGCTCTACTCCTGAAGGTGATTTCTCTTACTTTTTTAGAAAATATGACCGAATAATATTTCTATGCTTAAAGATTTAAATAAAATTAAAATTATTTCATCACTTCTTAGCTTATAACTTGTTTCATTAGTTTTACTGCTACCAAAAGGCTGAGATATAATTTAGTCCAGAACAGAATAATTTTAAATTGAGTGTTGATTTATATTGTTTTAAGTTTTTTTGTTCTCTCTTTCTTCTTTTTAAACAACTTTTTTTATAAACATTTTGTTTTCCAATATTTTAAAATATAATTTGGTATTTGTATTTGTTTTATGTTAATATTTATTTATCATAACCACTTATAACCCTGTTCTTCCATAGGGGTGCACAAACAGTAGCACATATGAGCCAGTGATTGGAGTATTGTCGCAGATTATACCTCTACTGCATCTCCCAGTTGTTGATCCATCGCAGAATTTGGCCTTCCCAATGACCGTTATTGCCCTACTTCCTTACATGCTTTTGCATTATGAAGACGCTAACCATATCTGTATAATCTCTGCTGAAAATATTGCACAGGTTTATATTTTAATATGAGAATTAGAAAATGATTTAGTGATTTGGAATTTCAATACAAAATCTATAGAGCTGAGAATATATTTACATTTTTTTTCTTGTGTTTCTGTGTGTGAATAGTTTTTATTTGTTAGCTTTTTAAATCTTGAGGAATTAATTAAGGTCTATATATATATATATATATATATATATATATATATATATTTTTTTTTTTTTTTTTTTTTTTTTAATTAATAAAATTATTTAATTTTAGGTCAGCAATGAAAAAGGAAAAAAGTTGGAAAACCTCGGCACAGTTATGACTCTCTATTCAAGAAGAAACTTTAGCAAAGAAAGTTTTCAGTGGACGAAATGTGTTGTTAAATATCTATATGATACATATGCCCATCTTAGTTTGAACATGCTTGCTTTTTTGGTTGAGGTAAAGGAAAACTAATGAATAACTGCTTAAACAAAAATTTTTCAATTCAAATTTTTTATAAACTTGAGGGTGAATATAAATAGTGTTAAATAAAAAAGATTTAGATTGAAAAACGTACAACTTACTTCAGAAAACTTGAAAAAATAGCATGTCAACAACTGCCATAATACTACAGATATTTTTGGGGTATTCATAGAAATAGTGATCTATTATCATACTGAAAATTTATCATGAATCTTGAGTGAATTGCTCCTTTGTGCTAATACACTACAGTTATATTAGCTGTAGTAAGGTTATATATCTACTCTATAAACAAGTTTTGTTCACTCTTGGTCCATTAACTTGACCTAATATTGTTTGGTTGATTTATTAAAATGCCGAAGCTAGATAAAAAGGATGTGTTATTGATTATGTGATTTTAAATGTCTTGATTTTTATTTTGACTCTCAGTCAATTAGCTAAATTTGCTTTTTAGCATATGTGTAGATTCAATAGATGAAGAAGACAAAAAATTTGATAAAATCATTGATGAAATTCTTGTTGTTCAATTTTTTGTTGTATTTTATTTCTACATAAGAAAATTGCTCATCTCTTGTATAGATTCTATTCCAATCTGAACCATTTTAGAATAAATACTCAGGAGACTTATGATCAAAACCTCATGTTCCATTTCCATAGACAGGAATAATAATAACCTTTTAGAGGGTTAAATAAAGTTTTGTATTTTTTTTACTAATAAAGAATAAATCTAGGTAATAATAATAATACTAAATACTGAAATAGAGCAATTGTAAATTGATTTTTATTGCTAAACACTATAAAAATTTTTAAAATTAAAATTAATTTATAGATATAAATTATTATAAGTATGGATTTTTATAAGTGATATCAATATGTAACATAAACATTTCAATATTGTGTGTGTGTGTGTGTGTGTGTGTGTGTGTGTGTGTGTGTGTGTGTGTGTGTGTGTGTGTTTGTTATAAGTATGTGTTTGCGTTTGATGTTTTATATTTATTAACAACAATAATTAATAAATAATTATTTTATTATAAAGTAAAAATTCAATCAGGAATATTTTTATTTCAATTCATTTTTTTTATCTGACCATCAGGTTCTGGAGAAAGGACCAACTATAGTGCAATTACCTGTGCTGAGTATTATCCACTGTATGTTACATTATGTTGATCTCGCCCTCCCAGGAGCACAGACACTTTATGCTGATCTTTTAAAAGTTATATCGAAATACATTGAGGTGAGCTAAACAGCTTTAATCACTACTTGTTCTAAAAAATTACTTCTTTCATTATTTTATTTTTTATTAGTTTATTACTATTGTAATATAAATTTATTATTTTTATACATTCTACTTACCTTCTTCAACAGGGTAGCCATTGGAAAGAAGCTCTGAAGGTGCTGAAGCTTGTTGTCACACGCAGTTCTACTCTAGTCGCTCCCCCACTCACTAGTCATCACACACACTGGGAGCCTTCGCCACATCTCTCGTTTACAGATGTTGAACTATTCACCAAGAAGGAGCTGCCAGGTGTTTCATTTTTATATAATTAAACATTTTTTCTGGTTGGGGACGGGGTGACCAAGTGGGCTAACATGTATCTAAAACGCGCATTGTCTGGCATTATATGAATCAAGTTCTTAGTTCATCAACAGATGTTTAATTTGCCTTTTTTCTCCTGCTCAAGATTAAAGCTGAGAACAAAATAAATTTTAATTTATTTTAATAGGGCACTATATGCTAAAAACTTGAAAAAATTTGGACAATTCCAAATGCTACCATTACTATTTTTATACATGTTCTATAAATTCATATGTTTTTCTTATTTCGTATTAAGATGAATTCATAATTGTAAAACATACAATTTTATCTGATATACAGCAATTGTTTTTTCAAATAAACAATTTAAGTTTCTGAAAAAATTATAATATAGAGATTTTGAATGTAAGATAGTTTAGAATATTGAGACTCATCTGTATTTATGGTCATAACAAATTAATTAAGTTATTCTTGGTTGTTTATTAGTACAATTAACAACAAACATTTTTATCAACTAACTAGACACGTCATCTAATCTTATCTCAATATACCTATTTATGTTTGTTTAAACAGTATTAGGCCCAACTACACCAATAACAAACGTTTTCACTTTACGTATTTATTTTTCAATGTTTCGGCCTCTCAAGCCATTTTCAAGATTCTACAAAAAAATTTTAACTTAGTTATTTTACATTAAAATGTATCATTATAAAACATATAATAATTTATAAACATACCTAGTCCTCATTCTATTTTAGAAAAAAAAAAAAAATATATATATATATAACATAACAATTTTTGAATATTTTGGTTTAAAATTAATACAAAAATTATCTACCTACCATGCACCGTTTCATAAAAATTTTCTGTAACATGTCATTGTAATTTAATTCGTCAGTTGTTCATTTCCTTATTTCATCGAATGTTGTTTTTATTTCTAAAAGTTTTATATAAATAATTAAAACACAATGTTAAATTTTAAAAAAAAGAAAACATGTAATGTGTTACATGAATGAATGAATACATTACAGTTCAACATCACACTTAATATCTTCTACTAAGGAGGTACATGTTTTGAGTTGAAATTATATTCTTTTTGTTTTCTTTTCTTAAATTTAACATTGTATTTTCATTATTTATACATAACTTTTAGAAGTGAAATGGACATTCGATGAAATAAGGGAATAATCAACTGATGAATTATGTTACAATGATATATTTTAGAAAATTTATATGAAACGGTGCATGGTCAGTAGATAATGTTTGCATTAATTTTAATCCAAAATAGAATAAGAACTAGGTATGTAACTGACTGTTTGTAAATTATTATATATTTATAATGATATATTTTAAAGTAAAATAATTAAATTAAAATTTTTGAAGGAGTTGATCGGAGTGTGCGGTCAAATTAATACTAAATTAAACAAGTAGAATTATTTAATTTTTGCCGACGTTTCGACCCACTTTGCAGGTCTTCATCAGGGCTACAAAAGATACAAAACATGGTGAAAATAAAATAAATGAATATAAGTAGATAAAAAATAAGAATAAGTTGTCTAATATAGAAATAAAAAGATGATATCAAAGATATTGTGAGATATACATATAAAAATGGAGAATGAATAAAAATAGAAAATAAAGGAGAATATAGCTTTATTTTCTATTTTTATTCATTCTTATTTTCCATTTTTGTTTGTATCTTATACATATAATACTTGATATTTTAACTACATTGTCACCCACTATATCTCTTATATCATCTTTTTATTTCTATATCAGACAACTTATTCTTATTTTATATCTACTTATATTCATTTATTTTATTTTCACCATGTTTTATATCTTTTGTAGCCCTGATGAAGACCTGCAAAGTGGGTCGAAACATCGGCAAAAATTAAATAATTCTACTTGTTTAATTTAGTATTAATTTGACCGTACCCCCTGATCAACTCCTTCTCATATTATATCAAAGGTCAACCATCTCTACATCATTATAAATTAAAATTTGTTTAAAAAATCTTGAAAATGGCTTGAGAGGCCTAACCATTGAAAAATAAATACGTAAAGTGAAAACGTTTGTTATTGGTGTAGTTGGGCATAATACTGTTTAAACAAACATGAAAAATGGCACCAAACCTAAAAAATAAGCCAAGAAAATTATATCTATTTAAGATGTTTATAATGTTAAACAATTCATAATGTCTAATTATAATAAAAGGACGGACCATGGACTTCACATTTGATGTTACCAAAACCCCCCTCATCGGCCTTAAAGCTAAGACCAAAGGAAAAGAAGAAGGAACAGAAGAGGCTAACAGTTCATCACCGAGGAGGTCAGTATCTCTTTCTCCAGCTGACAGCCTAAGTGTTCCAGGCTGGAAGAGGCCGTGGATCTCACAGGTATCTATAAAGCTTTTTATATATTTTTAAATATTAAGATGTATTTTCCATATTTAATTGATTGAAAAAATACTTAAAATTTAGGGAAGAGTTCGAGAATCACTTGTTAATCTCCTGACAGCATGCGGACAAAGAGTCGGCTTGCCAAAGAGCCCATCTGTAAGTTGTATTTATATATTTTGCTTTATTAATTTTATGTAAATGGAGATAGTTGTAAATGATCTGTTTGCCCCTTGATGTTAAGTTGCATAGTAGCAGTTTATATATATTTCTCTTTCTTTTTTCTAATTACTAGAACAAAGTTTGGTTTTGTATTTTAAGGTATCCTGCATGTTTTCTCCTAAATCTAGTCTAGTTTACTTTTTGTTAAATTGCTTTATATTTAAATTAAATTTAATACTGGAAAATATTTTGAACACTTATACATTCTTTATTTCAATAATATTAATGATTTTTTTTTTGGAATAATTTTATATTACATTAATTGATTAATTTTTGACATTTCTCATAGGATGGTTTAATTAACCGATTGGCTAAGGTAATAGATTTTATTCTATTCATTTACACCATAAATCAACATTGAAATATGTACATTATATGCTTATTAAACATTTTGTAAATATTTTTATGTTTATACTGTACAGAATAAATGCACTTTATAACACTTCAGCAATACATTGCTAATTCAAAAAGGAAACATAAATAACTTTTAAAAATATGTCTGAGTATTTAACAAAAATAAAAAGTATACTTATATGTAAGTTAATCTTAGAATAGCTAGGACTTTAGGAGTTGGTCTTTGATACTTAAGGTTTTTATTTCAGTTAAATGTGTTGTTTTATGGCATAAACTTCGCTACATCCCAAAAACAGTTTATTGTTTTATACCACGGTCTTGACATCTCAACTATCCATTTGTTATTAATCACAAATTAATCACTGATAAACTAATACATATTTTCACCACAGATATTTGATAAAATTTTCAATGGATCTTCTCAAGGAGCTCATTTTATGTTTGATTTTTATTAAAATATACCAATGATTTCCCTTTTAAAATCTTAATATTTGAGCAGGCTTTATTTAGAACAATATATCAATACTACAATATTTCTTTTATTTTTAAAAATTGGTAGGTTATTGAGTGGGTTGAAAATGAAACTTTTAGAAACTCAGCTGAATTTCTTCATGTTTTTTAAATACTATCTCTATTAATGATGCTCTACTGTTAATCTTAAAATGAATGCTCTCTCTCTGTTCCCATTCTAAATAATTGAATATTAGATATTTATAAAAATTATAATTACTTTTTTTACATTGATGGAGACATAGTTGTTCATAGATGAAATCAAACCAATGATGATCAGATGTGCATAAGACATAAAATACACAGCAATATAATTACAATTTTAATGTTTGTTGATATTTTGGCCTAAATTTTAGGCCTTCATCATGGTTAAGAACAACAAGACAAGAAATAATAGAAAATAAACATAATAAACATGGCAAGATTATATAGGAAACATGAATAAAAAATATATATATATATAGACATAAAAATGTCAAAGTTCAAGAAAAAATAATATAAAGTGGAATATTACATAATGAAAGAAACTGAAGCGAGTTTAGTAATTTAAAGAGGATATTAGCATCAAATAAAGAGAAAGAAACGCATTTAGAACGATACAAAAAATAAGGAATAAATGAAATTAAGGAACATTCTTGACATGAACATTAGTTAACAGCTAAAAAAGGAATTTCAAACTCTTTCTTCATAATTAACCATCTTGTGGTGACTTACAAAATATTGAAATACAAGTGGTGTACTCATGAATTGGTGATAGTTTTCAAAATGATTAAATATATTGTCAAATATGCCTAAAAATCAGTGCCCAATTATAGGTATGGCAGTATAACTACATATATATGTGAAATAATGATCAGCAAATCATATTTTATATCTTTTAGTCACTTGACAAAATTTATAAAAGATAAAAATTATAATATTGAACTAATGGTCGCTGATTCTTACTGTTCTTGAGCTAATTGTGGTATAAATAATCATTACTATTTTGAGTTCAAAAATAATTAATATAATCAAGTTAAAGAGATTTAAAAATCTATAAAACAACAAGTTCTTGACATGTTAAATTATTTTTTGACTAATTCATTTTCTTAAGGAACGGGTATTGGAAATAGTAGTTTAAAAGTCTGCCAGAGTAATTCAATGGATATAATAGTATTATTCTGATTTCTTATGATGAGGAAGTCAAGAAATGGAAGTAAGTTTTTAATTTCACTTTAAACTATAAAACAGAGGAGGGAGTAGTTGAAGTCAAAGACATTTAGGATATAATTGTTTTTATTTTAATGTTTCGGTAGATCATTACTTTAATAAGATATCATTTTTCACTTATGTTTCCTTTTTAAGAGCTTTTAGTTTTGATAAAGTACTTTAATATAAAATCTCCAATTCTAAAGTCTTTTAATTCATTAGATATTAGACCTAAGCATTCATATATCTAATGTTTACACTGGTTATTTAAAAAAAAAATAACTTGTATTTAAAAAAGAAACTGTTATTCAATTCTCTCTAATTTACTAACTTTTATCTACCTTAAATTAATTTTCTGCTCTACTAAAATTTCTTTTTTCATTATTAATCTTTACAGTTTTTATTTAATTTCTTTTTTTTGCATGATTATTGTATGTATATTATAAAAAGTAATGATAAAAGTAAGGACTAGCATGTTTTGAGTGTGTTTGTTTGTTTCCCGCAAGCGCTACCGTGGAAGAACAAGTGATCCGAGCACAGTATGTACATACATAAAGAGTTTAAAACATCACAAAATCAATTATGGCACATGGTTCACTTTTATTTTTAGACTCAACAATAAAAACTCGATTAAAAGATGTTTCCCATTCACTGAGTTAATTGAGGCATAACCAGAATTGATTTTTTTTTTTATTGCATATTTTTTCTTAAAATTATATATCTATCATTGTAATAAAAAAAATAATAATAACAATAAGAAGATAGTAATTATAATTTTATAAAATCTATTATTATTTTTATTATTCACTATATAAATAATTAGTTTTATCATTTAATTAAAAAATACATGATAAGTCAATTCATTAATTAAACTATTTAATTTGTAGATAACTTTGTTTATTATTGCATATAAGGGGGCAATTACCATTTGAATTTTTTCAACAAAGTTGGATGATATTTTGAAAAAATTAACTCAGTTAAAAAAATTTAACAATTAAATTATTTATTGGATAAAAGAACCTAGAAGATACATACATTTCATTCTTAATTTTTTTAAATTGATAAAATCTTTTTTGTCTACTGATTTATGTTTAATTATTGGGGTAGTATGTTATAGATGTTTGATATTTTAAATGTTTTGGGTTGCAAAATTAAAATTTTGTAATATTGTGAGTAATGCTAATTTTGTTGATTCATCCATTATTTTAGCTTGAGAATGGATGGATGAATAATCAAACTATGGCTATAAAAAAATTTAAAAGATGAGACATGTTTTTTATTTAAAAAAAAATATTAGAAAAAAAAGAAGAAAAAACAATTTAAATTTAATTCTATGTATTCAGGGTGTATGAAATGAAAATCAAGTGAAACAATAATTTTATTCTGGGATTACAGTCCCCTAAGAATAATAACAGAGTTACAAATGTATGGGTCTTATTATTGGATCTTATTTTTACATTTTTGCGGAAGTTTGAATGTTTAGTAGGTGGTGGAACAGGATTTATTTGAAGGAATTTGTGGATGAGAATTGACTTATGGAGGTAGGAAGAGAGTTCCAAAAGCAGATAGCACAAATGACGAAGGATTTGCTGAAGGAAGTAGTTTTATGGGAGGGGATATATGAATCCATAGGTTGGGATCTGGTATTAATAGGGTGGATAGAGGAACATAGAGTAAGGAATTCCAGAATGTAGCAAGAGTTTTTTGTTTTGAGGACTTGGAAAAGAAAAATACCAAGGAGGGATTGTCGTCGGGAAGTCGGATAAAGCCTCTTCAACTCGGTGTACCAGAATGAAGTATGGAAACGCCTGGGGATTCTGAAAATGTATCTTATGAAACAATTCATGAGTATCTTTAGTCTTATTTCCAGCCTGGCAGATAGTCCTACATACACCAAACAGCCGTAGTCGAAGTGGGAGAATATAAGGGAGGTTACAAGGAGCTATTTGGTTTTTAGAGGAATACAATCACAGGATCTTAGGAGTTGTTTAAGAACAGTTATACATTTTTGGGTAATCTAGGAGATATGGTTATTCTAGGAGAGGTTCAGGTTAAAGGTTATTCCTAGGTTTTTAGCTGAAGAGAAAAAATGGGTGGGGCTATTGATGTAAAGAAGAGGAAAGTAAGGAAAGGAACTAATGAGATTTCTGGACCCGATGAGTCCTATTTGCCTGCAATAAAGTTCTATTTATAATAGCCTTAGTTGTATCTGCTTTTAGCTTTACCTCATTTATTTCTGCCCATCTGTTATGCAGTAATATCCTCTTGTAGCTTTTGAGCAGCCTCAGGCATCTCAGAAGATCGGAATGATTGGTAAATTTGTAATCATCGTCATATAGGTGGCAACAGGAGTGTTGAATGGCATCACGAAGGTCACTAATATAAATAGAGAAATAGGTGAGAGTGAGAAACCCTGAGGAACACCTTGTGTTAGTTGAAGGGGTGACAATGGAGGTTTGTTCGGAATTACAACTGTCTGAGATCGATTGGATAAGAAGGAGAGGAATCATTTTAGAATGCTATTTGATATGAGCAGGCTTTGTAGTTTGGAAATAAGGACCTCATGATAACATAATAAAACGCTTTGGAAAAGTCAAAAAGGATTAGGATGGAGATTTTCTGTTTATCTATGGTGGATTGGAGATCTTGAGTAGTCCTTAACTAGGCAGACTGGGTGGAATAATGGGAATGGAAACCAGATTGTAAAGGATTGAGGAGAAGATTTTGCTCGAGAAAGCTGTTCAACTGAGAGTGGACTAATCTTTCTAGAGACTTGGATAGATTGGATAAAATGGAGATGGGTCTGAAGTCAGAAGCTGATGAAGGAGTAGGACTTTGTTCAATGGGGGCACTACGTCTCTTTTCCAGGATATGTCAAAAATGAAATTTTGGATAGAGAAATTATATATATTTATTGCAATAAGTCAGGCTGGAAGGCAGAGTTTGATAAATTTAACAGTTTTTTGTTCAGAACCATAATTGTTCGTTTTGATATATCGAGAAAATAAAATTACGAGTCATACTATATAAACTTGTATTGTATTTTGAAATAATAGGCGGATAAAAGATCCATGGATCTTTCTCATGAGGTCACCCCTTCTACTTGTGACTACCTTAATTATGAGTTAACCGTTAAATATTTTCCTCATTGTTGAAAGATATAATATTTGTTGTAATATAAGTTCTTTTCAGTATGTGATTCATCCAAAACCTTTTTGAAACCTTCCCATTTTCTTCATTATTAATCGAGTTTTTACTGTCTTGGAAATTGAACACCGACCATTTAGAAGTTATTGTTTTGTTTTCTATTTAAAATAATGATATTGCATATTTAGATATAATCTAACATTGAAAGGAAGTGGTAAGTAGTAAGGAAGTGTAGAACTCATCAAAAGAGATAAGAAGCTTAGCGGTTATCATATATCTTTTAGTCAACTAAAATATTTTAAGGTTATTATTTGAATTTAGAAAAAGACTATATATCATCAAATGAAACAGCTGATGATGTGGCTGCAGTAAGGGTACCTACCATCTATCATTTTTGCAGAAAACATTTTAATTTTTTCCTTATTAATTCTTAAAGTTGTATAAGATTTCAATTGGGTTAGTTAATTAGATAAAATAATAGAATGTTTTTTTTTTAAATAGTCATATAGACCATTTTTGGAGTTATTGCGAATCCAGATATGCCTACCCAGGGGTGCCCATCTCCTTCAAGCTCCAGTGCTTAGGAATCTACCTCCCCCTCCTCCAAAAATATTTTATTGATTATCTTTTCATAAAAATAGAGCAAGCTAAGGTAGAATTAGAAAAATCGTAGATCATATACAATTCCACTTGCTGCATTCTGTTCCATGTTTTCTCCTTGTCCATTAGTCCGAAAATTCATAACCCCATTAAAATTTGTTTCCCTCAAAAATCCGTCAAAATATGCCCCCTCAAAAATTTTGATGGTGTAACTTGCGCCTTGAAACCCCCAATAGGCACTCCTGTGCCTGCCTCATTCTTATCTATTTTATGGCAATATGCTGAAGAATTGTTGAGATGTGTTACAAACAATAAAAGAAGCCACAAGAAAAATAGATTGCAGTTTGAATTTAAAATGTAAGGTAAACAAAAGAAAGAGATAAGGTAGAGAAAAACTTGTATCAGCTTCTGATAAAAAGGTATGCAAAAAAACTTTTGCTTGTCCCTAAAAAATTATTGGACCAAAGATTTCCTATTAAAGAATCCTATTTCTTTTATTGAACCAAGAAATTTATTTTATATTTCATGTATCTTTTCATTTAAGAAATTAAAGATCATTTAAGTCCAAACTTGACAAGAAGAAATGCAGCTCGTCACCATTTTATCATAGATCCAATAGTCCGTTGTACTTTAGCATTTTATATTAAATGGCAATAAACACAAAGTTTGCCATAGTTAATTTTTTTTTTTAAATTGCTTAGGATTTCTTTTGAAAGGTGATATATATATATATATATATATATATATATATATATATAGAGAGAGAGAGAGAGAGAGAGAGAGAGAGAGAGAGAAGATAATTAATGGATTATTTTTATAAGGATAAAGAGATTCCTATTCAAAAATACCTGAAGACCAGGAACTTATTCTGAAGCATTTAGAAAGCATTCCACCATTCCCCAAGAGCCAATGTACTCTGCTACAATGAATACTTTGAAAATATGTATAACTTAAGTATATATATTTTTTAAATCAATATGCTATATTTCAACTAGCATGTGTTAATTTTATGCAATAAAAGCACACTGCAAGCAAAAATGGTCTATAAGTTTTTTTGTTTATTTTTAAGGAAAATTAAAGTTACTTGCTCTTTACTCATTTGATCGTCTCAATAAATGGCTGACCAACAGAAAGTGAATAGACCAAAAAAAAAAATATGTTATATAAAATTAAAATTAAAAAGTCTAATGTAACTTTTGAAGTGTAGACTCTTATTGCAACCGCATTCAGTGCTCACTTATTGTGAGAAAGTATTAATCAAGCTAACTTCAGTTTCAATCCAGATCTTAATCATAATCGATACTTTAGCAATGGATTGGATCTATCAGCATGAATAATTTAAATGATCATAATTTAAATCAAACCAAGGACAACATTTCTTTGTTTGATTATGAAATAATAATAAATATTACTATGATCATAATTTTAATTCAAACCAAGAACAAAATTTCTATGTTCGTTCATGGTACCTAAATTTTTCTATAGTTAGTCCCATGAATTTTGATTTATTATTTTTTGATTATTAATTGATTTATTGAAAGTCAGAAATGTCAATGTACATATCATTCAAAGTTAAGAAGGGTTATTTATCTCTCAAATATTACACATTATAATAATTTTTCATTGTATTTGAAATTAGTAGAGGTATGATTTTTTTGAGGACCACTACTATTCTGTATCTTTTCTTATTGTAAATTATAAATTTATTCTTTAAAACCACTTAATCATTAAATTTAATATTGAACTAACTTTTATGGAGAAAGTAATTTTGTTATAATATTTTTTTTTCTTTGCAATAATTTACTTTTTTATTTATCACTGTTTATGTTATATCAGTAATTGATCAGGCAATAATTATAAAATATATTTTTTCTGTTCCATTTCTACTATCTGTTACATTTCTAAAAAAAAAAAAAAATGTTATTAAATGATGTCCCTTGGCAAGAGGATAACTTTTAATACTTAACATACTTTTAATATATTAATAGTAAGTAAATATAATATAAATATAATATCTTATAAAAGTTTTGTACTCATCACATATTAATCAATAAATTTTATTCGAAGTTCTTTAATGTAACAGGTGTAACAAACATTTAATTTTAATTATTTTTAAATTGATTATTTTTATAAGATATGACAAATTTAATTTTATTTTCCTTATGAAAATTTCCTTGAAAATAACGATCTGTTAGAATAAAGTTACTAATAATTAAGTCGACCTAGAGAACTCTTTCATGCCGAGTGGCCATTATTCATTCAGTTGGTCAAACCATTTTTCTGTGAATTATTTACTGTCATGGTATCAAGGGACCTTCATCTTTTTGTTTCTTAGTCTGTAAATGCATTAGTCTACAACTGTCAACTTAACCATTGTAGTAAATTTGTATTTATTGAATTTTTGTAGAAAAAAGTATATTTATATTTTTAGTTCATAAACACTTGAAGATGAACTGAAGAGATTCATTAATCAGAGTGTGTTCATATACTTAATTCGTTGTTTGATAATTGTGTATTTGATAAATTTTGGAAAATATTTTTTGGTGACATTGTTTTAATTGAACTTTGCATGTTATCTGTTATGTGTTTTTGCCAAAATTTCTCTTATTGCTGTATAAACAGTGCGTTTACCAAATTGTTTGCATGATTGCTTGTTGAATTTTCTTCTCTTATATTTCTATCTTCTGAATGTAAAAAGGAGCAACTGAAATTATTTTAATGAAGAAGGAGATAGGTCTGTGGGTTGGCAGAAAAAACATCAAGTAATTATTAGCAATTTGACCGACTCCTTCTATCATATGGTCAACCATCTATACATATAGTAATTATTTTAATTGTATATGTATTTATTTTTGTTCTTAAGATTTTTTATTTTTCAAAATACTGTATCAATTTATAAATAAAAAGTTTGACTAAAACTTTTGAACTGAAATCTTATGGAAACAAAAGGTTGGTGGAAATACTCTATTCTTTCAAATATGCAATAAAATAAATTATTAGAATTAAAATGACAGGAGAACCAATACTCATTTAATAGTGCTAATAATTATTATTATTTCATATTATTAAATTTTCAAAGTTTATCAAATTTTGAAGATTTTTTCTTTAAAATTTTTTTAGTATATTTCTATAAATGAAGAGTTAAATATTAACTATAATCCTTTTAAGTCAATGTTATAGTAATCAGTGTTGTTGAAAGGCAATGTTTAGAAATTGTAAGATAAAATTTTATTGTGAGTTTTTAATTCTATCTTAGGATTCTTACAATACTTTTAATTTTATTACTTTTTTATAAAACTATATTACTCTTCATTAAACACATGGGCATAGATCCAAGCCCCTGAATATTGCCGATAACTATGGTAAATATCATTCTGAAAGGTTTAAGAAATATATATATATATAATTCTTAAATATTATATATATATTTTTTTTTTTTTAGAATATTATTTGTATAATTTTTCCATTGAAAATCTGAAATTGTTTATCATTGTTTTGTTTTTGTAGGTGATATTTAGTCAGAGTTCTGAGGTCATGGAGCGCCAGAGTAGTGTTGCTTCGTCAACCGAAGAAGTTTCTGGTCCTGATCTATCAGCTGGCTCACAGAACCCAGATCATTTTGGTGTTTTTAAAGACTTCGATTTCTTGGAGTATGAGAGTGAGAGTGTTGAGGTATTATATTATTTTTTATTTATTTATTTTTTTATTGGTTTAGTTGATACTGTGCTATGATTTATAATGTTTGATGTACTTAAGGGTGAAAGCACGGACAACTTCAATTGGGGCGTTCGTAGAAGAGTACTTAGTGAAGGAGATGGAGAACTAGACCCAGCCTTGCGTATGTTGGAGGAGTCTGTTAGTGAAACAACACCGGTCCTATCTACGAGGAAGGTAAATTATTTTTTTTATATATTTATTTAAATTACTAAAATTTCAAAATTCATATTATCTAAATTTTACTTCTACTTTATGATTATTTTTTTAAAATGATGTTTCAAAGATAGAATTATTTTATTGATTTGTGATGGATTTTAGATTGTTCTGTAGAGACAAATAACATTTATGGTTATTATTTTTTAATGATACACTATATAAGTTAAATGGAAATATATAGCTCTGAAATATCCTGCTTTATTAGAAGAAAAAAAAGACACATTATATATAATAATACATTTTTTTTTTTTACTTTCACTTACTTATAGTAAAGGACACATTAAACATATAATAAAGGACAATATTGCGATTGTGAAAATTTTCGAATCTGAGTTTTCAACGGAAATACATGTTTTGAGGTCTCCTGAGTCCAAATAACCAAGTCCCGTAAAATGGTCTGTGTGTGTGTGTGTGTGTGTGTGTGTGTGTGTGTGTGTGTGTGTGTGTGTGTGTGTGTGTGTGTGTGTGTGTGTGTGTGTGTGTGTGTGTGTGTGTCTGTATGTATTGTCACATACCTGTCACGGTATAGCTCAAAAATGAAAAGTCGTATGAAAGTGAAATTACATATTTAAGGTTTGCATATACCTCAGATGTTAAAGCAACTTTTTCGTCAAAATTGACTGACCGGTATGTAGGTTTTATTCTCATTGATGTTCTCTAACAGCGCTTAAATGGCTAATTTTCAATATTAGCTTCCTCTAAAGTAGCTTCAATTTGTTTTATTTGAAACAATTAACCATTTCACATTGATCTCTTATATGAAAAATAGTTAAATATAAAATATGAAAGAATTTGATAATTAACTAAAGGAGAAATAAGAGATCGTAACAGATATTCTTTGGAATGAAGTAACCAAAGGGATACGAGCGCAGCCGAGCTCACCAAAGCTGGCCCGAAGATTAGAACAGGCTTCTGTACATATACATACAAGTTTAACCTAAATGTTTTCGTTGGTATTATTTGATGTTTAATTATTGATTTAGTTATGTTTCATTATAGTGATATAAATATTAAAATTTGTATATATAAGGGTAATTCAATAAATAAAAATTTCCACAATGAAATATAAATCAATATAGGATTTATAATTTTTACTTTCAGTTCCGTTTTGTCTGAAAATACTTATTTCTGATAAGAAGAGGATGGTAAGTGAAAGTTGTGTGATGCGCGCACCGCACCATATTTTTTAAATACTCTTAAATTAAAAAATATATATATATTTTGTATTATCATCATTATATAAATAGGCAAACACAAAACGGTTCAGCCCCTTTTTCTTCCTTCTTTTTTTGTTTAATAGCTATTGACGAGCTTTCTTTCTTCTTATAAACTTCTTATATTTCAGAGCTATATATTTCCATTTAACTTATAATAGTGTATCATTAAAAAAACATAATTGTAAAGATTGAAGTTGGTTGATAGGAGCTATCTAACCTAGAAGCTGACTTTTTTGGTGCATTTATTTACATTTCAAAATATAATTATTATAATTTTATTTTCTTAAATTGATGTGAAAATGAGAAATTAATTATTCCCACTATTTTTACTTAGCCATATGGGGGAAGTGAAGGTGTTGAAGAGTCATCCGATGATGAAGTTGGTTCTGAAAGTCCATTAGATGAACTTGCTCCTGGTGAGTTTGTGCCATCTTCGCCTGGGTGCCAGCAGTACACGGCTCTGTCTCTTTCTCTCAGGGAGAGAAGTAATTCTACCACTCACTCAGATACCAGGTAGATTGTTATTCTACTGTCTTATTTACATTTCAAATTGCTACTAATTACTACTTAATTACTGATAATATGCCTTAGTAGCTCCAGTGTTGGCGATCTGGGTGAGCTTACTCCTTGCAACGCCTCTCCCAACTTGTCTGGGATCATGGCATTCAGACCAATTGCCAGGCAAGATTCTGAGGAAGCCTGGAGGGTCCATATACAATCTCTAGTTTCTCATGTGCCGACCTCTCCTCTCCACATTTTCCATCTTTTACATCGCGTAGTCAAGGTATGAATAGGTTAACAAGTTTTAAGTTTGCTCTGAGCTATTGAATGTAGTTGAATATACTTAAATACTTTTTTATCTTTCTCAATTAATTTTTTTTATCCAAATTTAAAATATTTATTATTTTCAATTCCTTCCTTTTTACTTTATTTTTTTTTTATTAGTAATACTAAATAAAATTGTCTGTCAAAACATTTCTTTAGTTTATAAATAGCTGCTTTCATTATATCTACAAGGTTATTTAAAGTTTTTTTTAATCATTATTTTAGGAGGTTATTAAGAAGAGTGTGTCACTGAGCCGTGAGGCTTGCCAGCTTTTGTGTGACTTTGATGGTCTATCGTCACCACTTGGCTCCCTCGGTGAAAAGTTAGCAACGATCCAAGACCCTCCCTTGGTCTGGTTTTCACCGGACAGAATAGTTTCCCACACCTTGTCTGATACTCTTCGCTTTGGCATGCTTGAACTCAGAGAGCACTTAGACACCTTTCTCGATAGAAAAGACCAGGCCTCAGAGGTAATATTAAGTTTATTAAATTTTTATTTATTTTAAAATTTATTATAGTTTTTGTGTGCTACTGATTTTATCATAATGTATTCATATTCCTTACATAATTATTATAAAACTTTGTTGTAATGCTCTCCAGGGTGCTAAGGAGCTCTACAATCGTAAAATGCCTATAGCAGAAATAATAAAAGCTATTAAAATGATATTTTTATAATTTATTAATTTACAACAAAAAAAAAAAAAAAATGGGAAAAGATCCCATTATTTATGGTTTTACTTCAAAGAAATTATGTTTTTTTTTCTCTTTAAGACAACATAAAGCATTTTCAGATTCATCATCTTCCTTTTCTTCTTTTCTTAACTTTTTTAAGACTATTTGATTATCACTTATACTTGTCTTACAAACCTATGGTACCCAAAGTACTGACTACTTGCAAGACCTTCTCTTGCTAAATACAAACATTCATTGAAGTGTTTGGAACATGAATGAATCAAATGTTTTACGATGTTTAAAAATCTTCATGCTTAGTGCATCTAATTTTTAACCATTTTTTTCTATCATGTGTAGAAATAATCTAAACCCATTTATTAATAAAAGTTATACAATGTAAAAGCATTAATATGTCTAGATATGGAAAATATTTTTACATTCACATTTGATTTATTAAACTCGTTGATTCAATTATTTTTTTTATAGTAGAAAAGATTTTCATGACATCTTTTCTGTAACTTAAAAGCAAAGTAACTGGGAGAAAAAAATAATAATATATAAACTAACAAAATTTAAATTCATGAAAATATCTTCTAATAACAATGAGACTTCTCTAGGAATTATTTTCTTTTTAATTGATTATTTTGTTGTTTCCTACCATTTTACTGATTCTTATTGCTACTGTATTTACAACTTCAACTCAACCTTTCTCATATTTACTTTAAAAAATGTAAGAATATTAAAGAAAAACTTCATTCAGAGCCATTATAACTAGAATACTGGATTATCATAAATAATAAAGTTTTATTGGAAAACTATCATTCAAGACCTGGACCGAGGTGAATAAACATTATAGCTCGAAAATCATTATCAACAGAAGTGTTATAGATTTATTGTAGGTAGTTTTTTTCGATATAAAGATATATAGATGCCATTTAAAATGTATGATCAATTACTAAGAAAGTCTGGGGACATGTCATAAATAGACTAAATAGTGACAAAACTATTTTATTAAAAGCCAACATTTCGACCCGACTACAGATCTTCTTCAGAGAAGTGTGTTCAGCACCAACAACCACCCTGAGCACACCTCCTTCCTTAATAATACAACGGTCAATTATTAAGTATTCAATATGATCAATTACTTATGAATTTAATGTACTATGATTTTAAACTAAAGTAATACTTTTTTTTTTTATTTATTACAAATTTATCTATTCTGTTGGAAAAGGATTAAGATAAGTTTTTTTTTGCTTTTTAGTGCATAGAAAACATGAAGGTTACTCAAAAACTTAATGAGTGCCCTGAAATGTGTGTAATCTTAGAAACAGGAAGGAGCCTGTATAAGCTTCATTTTCAACTGGTGCTTCTCCTCGAAGCAGCCAACAAAATGTATTCCGTCCTCACAACTACTGCACAAGACAACAAAGTAAGCATTCAGTTTTTATTTTATTGATCCCCACAGGACTACTCCTTGTGTTTACAGAAATAGCCACTCTTGATTTGTTAACTAAAGAGCCTTAATTATTGTCACACTGCTATTTAAAATTTATATGTACTTTGATGCATTGTAAAAATTTGCCTATAATAATATATTCTACAAATAAAATAATTATTTACAATAATACAATCAATAAATTTGTCTTGATATTAAGTTGCAGGATGTATCTTCGGATGTGATAGCAATAAGGAAGAACCTGATGAAAGCGTCCGCTGAAGAACAAGGTGAGGTAGAAGCCAGTTCATTGCCTGAACTTGATTCAGTCGTCCAGCTTCTCACTGATTCCAAGTGGTCCACAGCTTTGGCTGTTGCTAAGGCCAACAGGTACCAATGACTTAATATTTTATTTGATGATTTTAATTTCATTAAACTATAAAATCTCCCTATCAATTATTATTTTAATTTTTGAAAACTATATTATTTTGTTTTTTCATGTGAACTTGGAAATACATTTGAAAATATTGACCTACAAAATTTTAGTAGTTTTCAGAGATGGTATAGTTATCAGAACTAAAATGAGTACTGATTGTTATCAAGGTTGATGTAGAGTATTTACAACATTATCCTTCCAAAAATGCTATTAGGTGTAGAATCAAATACACTACTAGTATCTTACTTTGTCCTCTAATATGAAATAACTATCATTAGATTTTATCATGCATTTTTTTTTTCTATAAACTTTATGATATTTGAAATCATGTATATATATATATATATATATATATATATATATATATATATATATATATAATCTGATACAAATACAAGAAAAACCTTAAAAATAAATAGCTGCTTTTATTATAAATTTCTACTCTCAGTAATAGTGTAGAATTAATTTTTTTAAGTATTAATTTGGATTTTTTTTTTTTTACATTAAATCTGTTTCTGAAAAATAATGTGAGCTGATGGTTCAGGTAAACTAAAAAAATTCATTTTAATTTTTTTTTTATTACATCTTGATGAGGAGTTGGACAAAAACCTCTTAGTTTCTCCTCTCACCGAAATAACAAGAGTTTCTATTGGTTGAATTTGTTGTATTGAAGTTATTGGTAGATAACTGATTATACTTATTAGTGGACTCACTAGTCGACCCAGGATTTTGGAGGGCTTCAGCCCGAAACCTTTTTTTCCTATATACATAACGATAATTACTTTGGAAGAAAACAAAAGAAATGAACTACTGATATGAAATGGTGTTTAAGTGATTCTTGAAGTTCTATTAATTGTAATTACATGAACAATAATGTTTTAAAGATTATATTTTTCATAAGAAATGGTTTAACATTTTGGTGAGGAGAGGCTTCAGCCCTGAAAGACCCTCTTTCTCTTTGCCGTGTAGATCTCCTGTGCTCCATTATTACTGTGTCTGCTATTATAACTGCCTGTTTTTCTAAAGCTCTAAAGAATTAATTGCACTTAAATCTAAATTTTCCTCTAAAATAGTTTCATTGGCAAGGAGAATGAGTTTTTTAAAAAAGGCATACCATTAAAAAAAAACTTTCTTTAGCAGTTAGGTGATTTTATATGATATGTAAGGCTTAAGATATTTTTTTATTCTACCGTTACTGTTAGTTAATTTATTCGAGCCCAATAGACCTGCATATATTCCATGCTTCTTTCAGGTCGGCGGGTCCTCAAAACTTTACTTAAAAATTATAATTTCTAACTTCTTGACTCTTCTGTATACCATCTCAGTGATTTTAATTTATAAGGTGTATGTATTGTATTCATGTTATTGTTTGTTAGTGTTGTGCGCTATCTATTTAGGAAAATTACACGTTTGTTGAATGGATGAAAAAAATATAATTTAGTCAACTTAGATTTTGTTGATTTACTAAGGTAGTCTTCTACTTGGCCAGTGCAGGGATGCAGTGCTGTGCGGCACATCAAATAACACCTATCGAACAAAACTTATCTCATATTTATTGTCAACTATTTTATGTTCTAGAACAACCTAATACTGTTCCTTATTAAAAGCGAACAAATGGTAATAACCAGACAACTTTATTTTAAAATAACTAGTAGAATAAAATAATAAATAATAAAATAATCATTCATCTAGAGAATAATAAAGAATGGCTAAAACTGTGAGTTTTCTTCTTCTCTTACCTACCTCAACTTTTTTGCAGGCTAGGAAATTAATGCCACAGTTAAAAGCCCCCAACACTGATAAACAAACTCATTAACATCAATTTATCAGGTTGCTAATACTACAATGCTGGCCCAAAGGCTTCATTCTAGGTTAATGTAAAGATAGGGTACCTTCTTCCAATTAAGTGATACAATTGGAGCTCAGAAGTGTGTCATGTCTCTACACCAACAACTGGCTTTAATCAATTTATAATGTGTTAATATAGAGCGGGGTGGCCGAACGGGCTAACGTGTGTGCACAACACTGCGTGTTTCTTGGCAACCTGATAACCATACTTGGAGACAATAAAAATTATGAGTTCACGTCCCGGTGCATTGGGGTTCTTTTAAATTCCCCGCCCTCACCCTCTGTCCAAGGAAAATCCCCTTATAGCCTAAAAAGGCGAGGTAGGGAAGAACAAGAAAAAAATAAATAAAAATTGTGTTAATATATTGTCTTATTAATATAAACTCAAAATTAATATTATATTATTAACTAAACTTCATTCTTTGAATCTCTTATCATATATGAACTATAATCTATTTTATTTTAGGGGCACTATCACTAATGATATCATTACCACTGCTGCGGAGGACGACGATGTCACTAATATTTTGAACCTGTACTGTTGCCATTTGATCAAGGCTATGCCAGGTAATGACTGTTTAATATCAAAAGTAAATTATTCAATTACTTGAATATGATTATTATGATGTTTAACATTTTATTTTGTATTTATCTTTATTTTAAGAATTTAAGTTCCTAATTTTTTTTTCTCAAATATTTCATTTTATTTTTACCTTTTATTGCTTATGGGCTACCCTTTTTTTTTTTTTTATTTGCTGCAGAGGTCTTCTATATGATTGTATTTACATGTGTATTAATAATATAATATTATATTTATACCTTTAAAATTAATATGTCCATGACTCATAAATTTTATGGTGGATTGGATTCCTATTCTGTAGTACACTTATTTTTCTCTTTTCTGAAAAGTGGAAGCCTGTTCAGTTTGAAAGATATGAACGTTGCTTCTTGGGCCCAAGTCCATGTTTAGATGTATTGAATGTAATTATTATTGGAAAATGATGTATTAATGTTTATACACTAAAGCTTTTTTAATTTAAATACTAATCTTTTTCAGACATATTTGTTGTGACTGAACAAGACTTGGGAGAGACTGTTTCAAAGCTGATGCAGGGCCTGTATCAAGTTTTAGGTGCTGTAAACAACATCGAAGAGAAACTTAGATCAATTGATAGGCAAAAATAAATTCCTAGCCAATGCCAAAGAGTTTTTAATTTTATTGTGTGTGTATTAAAACCTTTTGTATTTTATTACTTATATTATTCTTACAGCTTATGATTTTTTTAATTTTGACTTTGATATAGATTTTTCATGTATTTATTTCATAGTAGCTGTATTTATAGCATTTTTAAAAAGTTTTATTGTATGTGTATATTAAAAATGAGTTTATTACCTTAGGTGTAATTATGTTTTTGTGTTTTATTTTTTCTACATTGTGATCAAATAAATATACCTCATTGAACTGAACTGAATGAAATCTGTGTAAATTACTTTATTTTTCCTATACCATCTTAAAATTAGGATACGTCGGGCACATTCCATCGCCAACAATCCTAGCCGCACAAATTATCCACCGCAACCTCCTGATCCAAATCCACTTCAAAGCCACAAACAACCGACATCACTTCGATCCTAATATCCTTCCTGATAAATCTTCAAGATACTATCAAACCACTCATCACCCTTCTCACCAGACTCCTTCATTCAACTTTCTTCGATGAACTCAAAGCCCCTAGTTATCCTGTTATGGAACGCTAATGGACTACAAAACTTTCTTCATTTCTTCATGACAATTATATTGACATTACCCTCTTGACGGAAACTCACTTCACCCAATGGTCAAACTTTTACATTTGTGACTACATCAATTACAGATCAGACCACCTAGACAACAGTTCTCATGCCGGTTCAGATTTCTTCTTCCCAGACCATAATCAAATCTCTGGATGACTTTCATCAGATCATAGTCCAGTTCTGCTATTATTGCATTCAAATCACTCTCCTAAACCTTTCTCTCCAATACTGATTAGAGGTTGAATTGATTGGGATAAATTTCGTGATGATTTGGAAAATAAACTAGACTTAAAAAATCCGCTTAAGACAAAACAAGACATAGACAAAGCCATTAGCAATAAGCATAAATGATAATAATACATCCATAAATAAAAACAAAAATACCAACCATACCAACTTGCCGCAACATATTTGAATCTTATTAAGGGAAAAACGCTGAGCAAGATCGAAGTGGCATAGGACTAGATATCCTACAAATCAAACCTACTGTAACAAATTGACTAACAAAACTAAAAGTAGAAATTAAAAAATTATTTAACCTGACTAAAAATCTTACAACTACTGACAAATCACTATGGGCAACCATCAAAAAGCTTCTGAAGTTTAAAAACTTTAATCACCCACTACTCACTGATTCCCAAACCTGGTCAAAATCAGACTAAGAAAAATCTCAATTATTTGGTCAACACCTCTTCCAAACTTTCAATCCTCATCTTGATATCCTTAATTTAAATCACCTGGAATGTATTGAGGCAGAACTGGATACTCTTCTCCAAATGTCCCTTCCACCTAAACCATTCCATCCCACAGAAATATCCAACATCATTCACAGATTACCTTCACGCAAAGCTCCTGGACATAACCTAATCACATCTCAAATCTTAAAAATTCTTTTTTTTTTAAGATTTAAGATTTTTTACTTATATATATATATATATATATATATATATATATATATATATATATATATATATATATATATATATATTTACATTCCATCCCACAGAAATATCCAACATCATTCACAGATTACCTTCACGCAAAGCTCCTGGTATATATATATATATACAATGCTGTGCTCTGATCCATATATTTCCCTTATCCTTGGAAACTATTAATTGTCAAAATGATCCAGAAAGCCATCTGAATAACCATCCTCTTACCGTCCTCTCTCTCTCTTTTACCAATCATGTACAAAATCCTGGAAAAACTCATTTTAAAACGCCTGTACCCCATTCTAGATTCTAATAATATAATCCCTGTTCACCAATTTGGATTCCGCACATCCCATTCCACTATCCAGCAATGTCATCGTGTGGTAGATATAGTCTCCTCTGCATTGGAGCGCAAAATGTACTGTGCGGGAGTCTTTCTTGACATTGAACAGGCGTTTGATAGAGTCTGGCCCCTGAAACTTCTGTACAAACTCCGTAAATTCCTACCACCTACATACTTCCTCATTATTGATACCTTACTAATCGATACTTCAAAGTAAATCATAATAATGCATGTTCATCCCTCTTTTCCCAGTCTGCTATACTTTATACAGTTTATCTCAACACGGTCATCACCACCTATGCAGATAACACTTGTATATCCTATCTGTTAATAATGAACCTTTAATTGCATCCCAAACCCTCTAATCACATATCACAAACCTTGAAGAATGGTGTCATGACTGAAGAATAAAAATAAATACTAATAAATCCCATCAAATTACTTTTACCCTTCATCGTAAACCTACAACTTCTTGTCCTACAATATCCTTCAATGATATTCCACTTGTTCCTGTTGAACAAATCCATTACCTAACACTCCACTTGGAAATACGTCTCACTTTGAATCCGCATACTAGACTGAAACGACAAAAAACTGCTCGACGTTTCCGACTGTTCTAACATTTACTAGACAAACGCTCTAAACTTTCAATTAATTATAAAAGACTCATCTACTTAACCATAATGAGACCTATATGGACATTCGAAGTTGAGCTCTACCAAACCATCGAATTGATATCGTATCCAATCCTTACAATCCAAAATCCTTAATGCCTCACATTTTGTCACAAATAAAACCATTCATAAAGACCTTAATGTTCCATATGTCGCTGATTTAGCCCGAGCCAGATACCTATCCTTTCGCGATAAACTCCAGTCCCATCCGAATCCACTTGTTTCCAGCCTTTCTTCTTCCTTGATTCCTGATAATCTCCCTAGGTGTCTGAAAAGAAGATGGCCTCGTGATCTTACCTAGAATTAAATAGGGAGTGCTACCACTAGGTAGTATATCTTCAAGTCTGTCATGTCATTATTTCTAATGCATGCATTTTTACTGGTTGTATTTTTTATACAGTTGTAAATTTCATTAAATAACAAAAAAAAAAAAAATTTAAATACCGTACTTACTAAAAATCCAGAATATGATAGAGTTTTGAAATGAAAAAAATACTCTGAAAGTAATCCTTAAACAGTTACATCAATGAACAGTTAATATCTCAAGTTACATTACATAAAGAAAATACATTGCTCAGAAAAAACTTATTTTGTCTCCCCTCCCCCAACCTTCTTTCGACTTTTAGTTATAAAATAATGAATATCATAAAAAGTAATATAAAGTATCTATAAAGTTATTCCTTTTTATAATTTTCTATTGCAATGCCAATACATACCGTTTGAATGTTAATTGATGTAATGTTAAGACATTTGTCCAACTGTGAAGAAAGAATTTGTAAACAGCTAATTATACAACAAAGACAGAAGCTTAGATATAGGAAATGGAACATAGGTTAATGTCTCGTTTCTTAGCGGAGTTTCATCTAAAAATAATTCTGGCAGATTTCCCTTGAGTTAATTAGTAAACATATCACCCATTGCTTTTGACTTGCTACTTAATACAAAATGTCTGTCTACATGTTTGTTCTTTGATATTAACACTATATTCTCTCTATGAAATAAGATTAGTAGAAATAAAATTGTATTTACAGAGATTCTTATTTTAAATTTTTTGGTAACCCTTTAATTTATTTATCTACTTCTTTCATCCGTTTGTTGATGTTAATAGAATTGTATCTTATAGCAAACCCGAAATGCACAACAAAAATAATTTTAGTTTAGAAGTTTTTAACTTTATAAGTAAAAAGTAAACTATTATTGTAAATGTTGTGCAAATAGTTTATGGGTATTGCTAAGAATTAAAGGTCGAATATTGGTCTGTATATATTTTTTTAATTTATAAATTGATAAAACTTGACTCCTAACATTTTTTTTGCTTGAAAGTAACATAGAACATTATTCAGTTAATATTTTATGGCATGGCATTACTATGACATTATATCAATAACATGTAATGAGAGCTATGTAAACTGTTATGTTGTCAAAAACCAGATTTTGTTAAATTGTAACATATATTGATAAAAGTTGACCACTAACATTTTTTTTGCTTGAAAGTAACATAGAACATTATTCATTTAATATTTTATGGCATGGCATTACTATGACGTTATATCAAGAACATGTAATGAGAGCTATGTAAACTGTTATGTTGTCAAAAACCAGATTTTGTTAAATTGTAACAGATTGATGCAGTTCCGTCTGTTAGATTGGCCTAATCCTTCAATTATAGGAAGTTACTCTTTATTATAATTGTTTATTAATTTCAAGAGTTGTATGCATTTCTTCTCAGAATTTAGACAAATCATTGAAACCCTTATCTGGACTAAACATATTTTTACACTAAACACATCGTAAGCTCCTTAGAAGCGAGAGGTGTGTCACCGAATCTTACAAATGTCGTATCAGCTCTCCTTAGCACGAACACCATAAAGATTGGCAACGGTGTCCATGCAACTAGCCAGATCAAAGTGCTGCGCGGTGTACCCCAAGGCGGCCCCCTGTCGTCTTCACTCTTCAACCTGGCCATCGATCATCTCTACCGCGACCTGTGTGACGAGGACTTTTCCAAGAAATTTGGATACAAATTAAGGAATGAGCAGGATTGTGTGGTCCTCGCAGGTTTCGCGGATGACCAGGCAGTGTCGGCGCGTGACAAGGGGGCTGCAGAAAGAGTGATTGACAGCATACAAAGAACATTTAAAGAAATTGGTCTGGCTATAAATCCTCAAAAAAGTATGGGCATCGTTATAAATAAAGGAGAGCTGGAAACGACGGTGCTCTCCCTTGAGAATGGTGAGTACATCCAAACATTGAAGAATGGAGATACGATTAAGTATTTAGGATGTACAATCTCGGGAGAGCTGCAATTCAACGAAGATTCGGTGACTAAATTGAATGATAATCTAAACAAGCTGGTAACCTCTTGCTTACTTAAACCTGAGCAGAAACTCAACATTGTCAATCAATATCTGTTCCCGGGTCTTACTTACCCTCTCCAAACTGCGCCCCTAACAAAGCTACGTCCTGCTATACTGGAGGGCATCGACACTATGATTCGCAGGAGCGTAAAGGCCATTATTGGACTCCCTGCGAATACTTCCACAGCGATGTTATATGCCCCCAGGAGATACCGAGGACTGGGATTAATCCGCTGCCAATGGGAGGCTCCTCTTCAACATTGGTCCATTGCTCAGCGACTGTCCAATGTACCAGATGCCCTTTTTCAGTCTACCTTCGATTATTCGGCTGAAATTGCTGAATGTGCCGAGAGATTGGGGGTTGATCAGGGTCATCGAAATGTGAAAGCTCTACGGCAGTCGCTACGAGAAAATGCATTTGAGGAATGGGCCAACTGCAGGTGGCAGGGTATTGGTGTTCGCCATTTTAAAGAGACCCCGAAAGCGAATAGATACATCTACGAAAAGCAAGTACTTTCTGGGTCTGAATGGTCGAATGCCTTAAAACTAAACATTAATTATGCACCCCTGCGTGGAGTCCCAGGAGTCAGCGGACAGGTCAGAGAAGTTGGGTCCCTCTGCCGTAAATGCGGCAGAGAGTCTGAAACACCAGCACATGTGCTGGGAAAATGCCCCAACAACTCCCTCCTCATAACACGTCGTCACCACCGGGTCAAGTTCGAGTTGATGAGGCTCCTTAGGGAAAAAAAATTCACCTGCTTTGACGAGGTATATTGCATCGATAGTGAGGGCTCTACGAGATACGCTGATATCGTCGCATTTCCCAAGACAGGAAGGACAGCGCTGATCTTGGATCCAACTGTCCGCTTTGAGAGCAATGACCTCGATCAGGCGGGTGAAGTGGAAAGGGAAAAGAAGAACACGTACGATAAATGTATCCCTTTCCTAAAAGAGAAATTCCGTGAGACCTTCGGAGAGAGAGAGTTCACCGTGAGAGGCCTCTGGTTTGGGTCTCGCGGAACTATCCCAAAAAGAACAAGGAGCTTCCTCGAGGAACTAGGTGTCGACATTAAGGACGTAGCGAGGTTGGCTGAAAATATAGTCCTCGACTCCCTGGGAATCATTCACCACCACGTGCATGGCTAGCCCGAGAGTTGTAATTTATGTATTTGTTTATTTATTTATTTAGTAAATAATTGAAAACAATAGCGATAAAGAGAGAGAAGTGAGAGAAAGGGAAACTTAATGTTAAATAAAAAAAAAAAAAAAAAGCATGAACATTGAGAAGAAGGAAAAACGAAAAAAAAAAAAAAAAAATTATAAAAATAAATAAAATAATAAAAATGTATATATATCTCTATTTTACTAATATTAACTAATACTTCTGTATATTTATATATAAGTTCATATATTGTCTTAAGGATAGAAGAGTATGCTGTGTATATAGCAACCCAATATAATTGGGCAGCAATCCTTTATATTTTACATTTTATATTTTATGAAAATAAAGTGTTTCTCTCTCTCTAATTTCAAGAGTTGTATGCATTTCTTCTCAGAATTTAGACAAATCATTGAAACCCTTATCTGGACTAAACATATTTTTAAAGTTTTAACAGATTATAAAAAAGATATATATCTTTGTTGAGTTTTAGTTTGTGTATGAACCAATTTTATTATTTTTCATTTTTATCTTTTAAGTATTTTCTATTATTTTATACTTGGAAAAAATGAATGAAACGCTCATGAGAACTTTTATGCAAAGGAGATAAAAAAATGAAATAATATAATTAAATATTTTATTTACAAATCTTATATTCACAAGCTTTCATACATAAACTGTTCCACAAAACGAAACAAAAATAAGTAGTTGCAAAATAAATTCCAATTAGATTGTATGTACAGATTCCACCTTTACTAACGCGGTGGTAAATAATCCCAGTGATGATGATGTACTGAATTATCAAAACCATATCCGATGAGGACAAGGCCTGTTATTAGTATAAGTAGGATGACAGCTGCTATTTGGGCATCCCTCCTCTTTTCTCCTTCTGGAAATAAAGAATTGACTCCTTCAACAAAGCTGCTTGCTCCACGTGTTACATAATCTTGCCATATTGAGAACAGCTGGCGCATCAATTGCAATGAATTTGCATCAACTAATGTCGGTACTGATGGATCATCATATTTAGGTACTTCTGGAGATGTGTCCAATTTGGAAACTTGTGGTTTTGGAATGACTTTCTCATCTACATTTTTTTCCTGCTCTTTCCTTCTCATAGGCATTGTTGATGCTAGCTCATCCTCCGAATCATCTATTACCCTTGTAGGTGATCTCCTTCCCTTGCTTCTTGTTGTTCTTGGTTGAGGTATATGTTCTCTAACATCTGTTGCTGCAATGGATGGTTCTGGAAGCTTAACTGGTTCAGCAGTTGCTTGAACAAATATTGAAGGAGGTGGTGTAAGGACCGTTCTGGATTGTCTTAGTGGAGTGGTTTCCCTGGACTTCTGTGAGGCAGCTTGTTGTTGTTTAGTCTGAGACACAACTTGTGCTACTATGTTAGATATGAAATCTGGAGGAAATTCCACACCACTGAGAGTAAGGTTTCCAGACCTTGCATTGATGTCAGTGACATCTAAAGATGCTGTTTCTATTTCTGACACTTTTATTTTGCTGGCCTGAAGCTCTGAAACGTTAAGACGCTCCACTTCTAATTCAGAAAGGTGAAGCTTGTCAGGAAAGGATACAGGAACAGGCTTTGTATGCAAAGGCCTTGTTGGGAGTGGAGGTGGGGTCCCTTCTTTCTCTAAATCCTCACTTCTAGGAGAAGTTGAAAGAGCTTCTTTCTGTATGACCCTCACACTACTTTCTTTGACTTCTGGTGTTGTCTTTCTTTCTTCTGTTCTTAATGATAAACTTCCTGGTATCACTCTTTCCCTAGCTTCTTGAAGTACACCTCGTGCAGCTTCCACTCTTTCTAAAGCATGTTGAAAAATATTTGTTTCTTGGTCAGCTAAACTTTCTTTTAATTGGGTATTGTTTTCTGTACTATCATCAGCTACAGATGTTACATTTTTTATTTCTGATTTCTCTTCTTCTTGTTCAGTCTTTATTGGTATATCATCTACTATAAATATTTCCTGCATCTCTTCTATTTCTTGATCTATAACTATCACATCTTTGGGAAGAGGATCTGTTTGTATGGAAACAGAAACTTCTCCAATATCAAATGAAGTTTGTTGACTTGTAGTTATAAAACTTTCAGGTCCAGTTTGAATAAGCTCTTCTTTAGAGTCCTCAGTTTTCTTTTGCTTTCTCGATGGTTTAATTCTTGAAAGTGAATTGAAAAACTCATCTTTCTTAGATTTCAGATAGCTTAATTTCTCTTTACCTTCATAGCCTTCTTTATTAATTTCTGTCTCTAATGCACCAATAATTGTTTCTGTTTCAGTTGGAATACTATCATTCTTCTCAACTTCAGCAAGAATGTCATAGTCTTTGGTTCTTCTAGGAGGACGAGGAGGTGGTGGCAGAGGCCTTCCTTTCATTCTCATTACAACTTCACCACTTTGTAGGTCTCTTTCCTTTTCAATGACATCATCTTGCTGTGCTGTAGTATCTCCTTTCATGTAAACAGGTTGCCTAAATACCCTATTTCTCCGAGGAGGCCTCAATGGGCCTAATGTGCTGTAATTTCTTGATGGGCGAACTGGTGTTTTATGTAATGATTTAATAGCTCTTCTTGGGTAAGTGAAAAATATATTTTTTCCTGTTGATTTTATGTTGTCTATTTGACTATGGAAATCAAAATGGTGAGCCCTTGGCGGAAGTGGTGGCCTTGGAGGCTTCTTTTTGTCTTTTATCACAACAGCATAACCAGGAAGATCGGTTTGTGTATCAGGTACGTTCAGTGTTCTTTCTTCTACTCTTATGGGTTCTGCTCTGTAATGGATATCTTCTTGATCAATATCTTCATCTAAAGGTTCTTCTACTTTTATTTCATCATCTACATTTATATGAACTCTCTCTACATCCCGGGTCAGATTTTCTTCCACATCATCATCTGGGAGAATTGCAGAATCAGCTCCTCTGGATGTCCTATCATCATCCGCTAGTGAAGTCCCTCTTGAACGAGATTTTCTTAGTGGTGCCACAGGGGGTAGTTCTGAACTTAAGTTCCGTGCAGTTATCTGAAACAAAGAAACAGTAATTGCTAGCAAACCTCTACTGTAATACTCCAGTCCATATATGTAAGCCATCTTCCTTAGCTAGAGTAATGTTTAAACATATAATATTTAAGTAAAAATATATTGAAACAGCATGTTAGTAATAAATGAGATCAAATTTTTAACTGTTCAGTTATTCTACAATAATATTTGTACATTACTCCTGCAATTTGGCTAAAATCTTGGCTTTGAATAATAAAAAGAAAAGAAAATTATTTTTTTATTTGACTAATCCTCAAACTATAGGTATATTTATAATTGTTGAAGATCTTCTTCAGAATAAAAAAAATAAAAAAATCTTACTCATTTATATCATTTATGTGAATTCTGTTTATGCATTTATTAGTTAAACAAAAGTAAGATGTACAGGGTTTCTCAATAGCCAAACTCTGGAGGGGGCGATTTTAACATTAACAAAAATATTCATTTGATGTATGTTTTACCAACAATTATGTGGGTTTTTTTTTAAGACGGTCATGGTTTTTATTGAATAAGAAGGAATTTCCCAAAAACTGTTCAAGATAATTCTAAGTATACCATTGTAAAATAGACAAATCTTTATTTTAGAAAACAGTGATTAAATATACTAAGATCAATGATAAAAGGAACTTTCAGGAGGTCTTATGCTTGTTGTACTGCTGCAGTTACTGTACTTATACCCAAGCAGCATATCTCTGTAATCTTGATTTGTGAAATAATTTGACATAATGGTAGGCTTTGCCTTATTAGACCTCCTTATCATCGACCTTCGTATATTTATTCACTATTTTTTAAAAGAAAAATTTGTCTACTTTATGATACTGTACTATGAATTTAATTATTTTTGAACAGTATTGTTGGAAATTTTGTCAAGAATCATCCTCCAGAGTTTGACAATTAAGAGCTCAGGCACCACACATATAAATTAATAAAACAGTTTAGTTGTATTGAAATGTAAGAAATTTGGATAGATTACTACCAATAGGTTTCTCAACATGCGTTTTCATGTGATTATATTATTAACGTGTGCACATTTACTGAATGTATTTTTAAATTTATACAGTTGTAAATCTGATGAATAAATAATAAAAAAAAAAGAAATGTGGTATTATTTTAAAAAAGATAGTTAATGTAATATCATAAAGGCACTTGGAAAATTAATGAGTGAAGACATGCATGGCTATATGTGATAGTTAACGTTTAAAAAATTTAGAAAGAGCGATAAAAACCTTATTATGTCACTATCAGGGAGATTAGAGCATTGAATGTTTTACTAGAAAAAGGATCAAGTAATATAAAATCATGGTCTATATTTTAACCTTCCAGCTGTCACACTAAAGTATTAAGTGCACCACTTTGAAAGTTTCTATTATATTCAGCTGATAGTTGAAATTTCACATTCACTACCTCTTTCTATTCATTTGTTACCTTTTCTACATGTTTTAGGATAATTCAAATAGCTCACATTAATAGAGTTATTCAGAAAAAAACAGTGTAACACTTAGACATCCACATATCTATTCATAAGATTGTTTTTTATTTTTGAAATTGTTTTGCATTTGCACACTGCAGTGACAGTGTTTGTTGCCCCCAGGCAATTATTTTGTTAACTGGCAATTCAAAAAAATTTTAATTTCTCAAGCTATTCTATAATATTTTATAATTGAATTTAATTTCATTCAATATATCTCTGATTCAGTTGGTTTATTAATAGGCTAAAATCAATTCTTGTGTAACTTTTTACATTTCCAAACAAGTGGCAAGGACCCCTTTAAGTTGGCTTCCGAGGCGATCACCCAGATGCCTGCCTCTAAGACCGATACTTCAAGAATATAATATAATTTGTACCATATCCATTATTGGATGAAACAATACCAACAAAATTATTTTATATTTTCGTTAGCAGTAATATTTCAAACTTTTGAGATTGGATATTCTAAAACTATTATTTCATTTATTGTTTCATTTCTCTGTATATTTTAATTTTATCTAATAATAATTTCTAGTGTTCATTCATATTTTGTATTACGATGTATTTTTCGAATTTAAAAATGGGACATGTTCCTTTTCTTGAAAATTTTCAGCAAGCAGTCAACAATCACGTACTATGTTGGTGCAATATTAATTGATAGCTTGCATTTCAATCTATGTTGTAGGTCTTCATAAGGGTTGTAAATGTTCATGTTAAGCAATCGTACACGAAAAAAACTACAAAGAAGTTGATCAAAAAAGTAATAATAAAAGACGTTTATCAAACTTCTAGACAAATTATAGTATTTTCGAGTTTGCAATAATACTCAAACCTGTCCATGTTACAATTCAATGCCATGCTGATTTTTTTAATGGTTCCTGATCTTTAGTTAGCCAGCAGTGTTTAACAAAAAGGATCAATAGGTCCACTAGCTGTTGCTAGGTTTTGAGGAACTCGTACAAATTTTAAATATTGATGATTACATTCGTATGATTGTGATTAAGAATTTTATTTATTAAATTTTATTTTTAATTTAGTATCTTATTTATCTTTTTTATTTATGGCATAAGTGGAATGCATTAGCTTTAACTTTTTTTCAATTTAAAAATGAAAAAAAAGTTCTACTTGGTTTAATTTTTAACCAGAAAACTCTACCTATGTTTATCTTATAATTTTTATGGTGGAATGTCTTTTAACTGCTGTGGCATAGGGATTTGTATAAAGATACCCACTTATCTAAGATATCTAAGCTTCAAGTTTCAATCATCCGGACCTACCCTCTTTTCATATCCCAAGTTGATGTGAAATAAACTGCAAAGTTTAATAATTTCCTGTTTATTTTTCTCTATTATATATATAAACCTTCATTATTGGTGCATTGATCAGACACATAATATTTGTTTTCAAATCCGCTATCGTGCTTTCAAGATAGATAATCTAGATCTACTGCTTTTTACAATTCCTCACAAATAACTGCTTTTACAGAAAAATCCCTAATCTTTTGTACAGCCTTATTTGAGAATAACAACTCTAATGATAAAGTTTCTTTCCAAAATTTGTTTTTTTTTTTATATCACTTTTTATCTACTTTCTTTAACTTTCAGTACCTCATATAAAGTAAGGGGAAAATATATTTATTATTTATATTTCATCTGCAATGCCTTAATATTAGAACTCTAACTGCATTGTGCTAACTTATTTAGATGAATAAAATTTCAATAGTTTATCTATATTTGAAGTTAAGAAAAAAATATATTCCAGAATAAAAGTTATTCCTCATTTCATTTTCATATAATAATATATTTATAAGATTATAATAATAATATATAAGATTATAATATACTTTATTAGGACATCCTCAGCTAGAAGTTTTTATAGATATTTCTTTGTTTTAATGTTTTATTTTTAATTTATATTCATATATTAAATATTCAGCTTTCCAATTTTTAATAAATAAGAAAAAAAATAATATATCAATAATATTTTAATAAAATAACTATATGACATTTTAAGGTAACATAGTAAATAAATATTTATTAAAGTTTAAATCACAATATAGTAAACAGTTTTAACATCATAATAATACATTACATCACAATTATATTTTTTGGATAATTTTTTATTATTCTATGAAATAAGAGTACATGCAAAGACAATTCTTCACAGCACTTCATTAAATTTCATGAAAGAAAAGTGGTTTTAAGGATGCGTCTTGCTCAAAATGATTAATTTGTAATGAGGGAACATTATAAGCTTTTTTTTCTCAATCTTAAACTGCTGTTTCCTGAAAAATAACAAAATTAATTTAGAAAAAGTCTTTGATAAAATTTAGATTTTCTAAAATTCTGCATTAGTTTATAATTACCTAGGTTTATATAAATAAACAATTTAAATGATAATTATTTTTGCTTGAAAGTAAGTGGCCTGCTTTAAATTTTATGTATGAAAATTTATTATTGTACACCCCCAAGGGATACAAACAAAAATTTGCACTAATAAGGGGAGAAGAGCATTTTTTTTTAATATTTCAAAGTATTGAAACACTAATAACCAAGCTGTCATCTTTCAATTTCTTCTTTATATTTGTTTGCTATTTTATTTATTTTTTTAATATTTCTAAATTGGAAAGGGAGCAGCTGTCCATCTTGCTCCTCTCTGACTGTACCTCGCTACCTATACCTCACCTATAAACTACTCTCTGCTTTTATATATCAGATTACTGGGCTATTTTGCCAAGTATATCACATTTTATATCGAATCAACACTTTTTATTTGATTGCTGTTTCAATCCTATTAATAAAGTTACATGCACCAATAAAACATATTTATAAATTCTGGTTTTATTTTATTTTTTTTAATCACATTTTCATAGAAGGTTTTTCTTTAATATCTTGTGTTAAATTGTCTATTACTGTATCTCAGATACATTTTTAGGTCTTCCTAATCAATATTCTATTCTGTTTTAATTTTTATTTTTTTGTCATCAACAAGAGTGATGGGGTTCACTTGATTTATTTTGATTTTTTCTTCTAAATCTGACTTATTCCTATATTATGCATCGCCAAGGAGCCGGTGGGAATCAGAATATTAAATTCTATGTTTGTCAAGTATTGTAAGGAGTCATAAAACTTCATCATGTTGCTGTTGATAAATTCTTCTACTTTTATTTTAGTAAATTTTTTTATTTTTTTATTCTTAACATAAAATGATGTATTACATAAATACATCAAGTAAATTTGGACATAATAGATGTAATGACATGAATACACTTGCTGAGTAACTACCCAATGGTAGCATTCTAATGATATGACTACATTAGGAGATCACGGGGCCATTTTCTTTTCAGACGCCTCGGAGGGTTATCAGGAATTGAAGAGGAAGCAAGGTTAGAAACGAGAGGGTTGGGATGATTCTGAAGTTTATTATGGAAGGATAGGTATCTGCATTGGGCCAGATCTGAAACATAAGGAACATTAAGATCTTTATGGATAATTTTATTAGTGACAAAGTAAGGAGCATTGAGGATTTTACGAAGGATTTTGGATTGTAAGGATTGGATGCGAGAGGAATTCGTTGGTAAATTTAGTAATGAATAAAGTTGTTCAAACTTCTCTTTTTCAAGAAAGTGTTTTTGGAAATTCTTTTTCAAATGTCATTTTGGAACTTTTGGAATGTGTATTTTATAATATATGGGATAATATTAGAGCATCATAGAGAAGAGAAAGATGAAGAATAGTCCTGCAAATGAGTAGTTTCAGTCTGAGGCTGAGGCTTGAGATTGTAAGGCAGTGACTGAAATTATAGGATTTTTGTCTAACTTTTGATAATTTTGTATTGCTAAGAGCAGTAAATTTTAAATGTTTGTCAAGTTTTATTCCCAGATAGATCAAATCGTTTGATATTCTGTTGTATGAATCGTCAATTCGAAATTTTTTAGTTATTTTTTTTGAAATGAAAAGATTATGAAATGAATATGGTTTTTAATTTCAGTTTATTCTGTTGTTTTTTTTTTCCAAAACTCCAACTTTAATTATATCTTAGATATTATATTATGTACAAGTTGTAGTTTATGTTTTTTTTTTTAAACAGGATTTCATTTTAAAGCTATTTTGAGGTTGAATTTTCTGGCAGTCTTATAGTAATTCTGGTGAATTTAAGTATGTATTATGAATGAGGGATATAAATCTGTTTTCTAGGTAAAAGCAACTTTTTTTTTTTTAATTTGAATAAATCACAGATAATCCACAACAATCTCAGTTTTTCATACGTATGGTATAGGTGAATAAATCCAAGTTTCAGATATTTTTAAAAAATCTGAAACATTTGTTTGATATAAAATACATTGAATAGCGCTAGATAGGCTAATTGATATTATCAGTTATTAATCACTGCTCTTTCTGTTTCTCTTCATGACTGGCACCCACAGGAAGTCAAGTACTGATTTAAACTTTGGTAGCCCACAATTCAAATGATTGTAAAAAGGCTAAAACACTTTATGGAGGACTTAAACTGATATCACTTGAAATAAGTGCTCATTACCTTTTTGTGGTAGTGATACTAAAATAATAATAAGCTAATAAAACTGGTTTGGAAAAAATAAAATAAATAAATGCTTACTCGAGTTTGCACGATATCTTCCTCTTTCTCTATGGCTTCTTCCCTGTTCAAGCTCTTTGTACTTTTCCTCCTTTGGGGTGGTTCTGGTGTTCCTTCCACATCCAGATCTCGTTCCAAACTCGGCATTGATGACTGCCGATTCCTGAACCTACCTCCGGATCTTGACCTGAATCTTCTAGGCGGTTTTTCCGGATCACTTTCTTTCCGCCGGGAAGGTCGCTTAGGGAATGTATGGAATTCCTTCTCTCGATCAGATCCGGTAGACTTTATCGATTTTTTCCTCTGAGGGGCTCTTGGAATTTCAGAAAATTTTATCTCCGGTTCGTCCTCATCGTATAAGTCGTTGTCGAGGCTGGCCAGAGCATTTTTCGGTTGCCTGAAGGCGTCCCTTATTTCCAACGACAGGTACCTGCTCACGTCGACATCCTCTCGACTTAGACCTTTCTGCCTAACAAAAAATTCGTCGGAGTCTATTTCTTCAATGACTCCAGCTCGCCTCCTCATCGAAGAGCTACCAGAACTACCCTTTTCCGAAACGACACTGTTCATACTTTCAGCTTTCGCTACACTAGCTTCTATGTTGGCATTATCTTCTAAATAGTCATCAGGAGAATTTTTAGAATACTTTTCCATGGTGGCAAACTCTGGTATCCGCTCGCCCCTTGGACCGACGTCTTCGTCGTCTTCTTCATCGGCATACTGTAAACCTCTGTAGGCCGTTACCCACTCCGTGTCTTGATGTGGTGCATGAGTCTTTACGCGTGGTTGTGGAGGCGTTGAAGGAGAACTCTCGGTATCGAAACTGCTCATCTTCTGTTCCAATTGTTCTTTCTTTTTTTTCTTGAAAAATCTTGGATATGTACGAAATTTAAGAGTTTCAAAAATATTCTGCGTTGATCCTGGTGTCGATTGTGAACTAATTGTTACCACATCTCTTAATGGTCTCCGAAGACTGCTAGGGTTTGGTTTCTTACCTTTGGCAGCTTTAGGTTTCTTTTCTGATCCAAATTTGAACTTAGGTCTTTCGGTTAAAAACTTTGGTTTTTCCGGCATGTGGAATTTCGGCCGTTCAGGAAGGTGGAACTTTGGTCTCTCGGGAAAGTGAAACTTTGGCCGCTCTGGAAGATTGAACTTTGGTCTTTCTGGTAACTTGAATTTCGGCATCTCAGGCATTTTAATGTTTGGTCGTTCTGGTAACTTTATCTTTGGTCTTTGTGGCATCGTAATTTTTGGTTTCGATATACCCTTCAGCTTAGTTCTAAACTTATCTGCTTGGGACTTAAGCCTGCCCTGGAAGCTCTCCGACTGTGGAGGCAGTTCCACAGAAGTCGACTCTGGAGGATGGACTTGTATTGCCGGCATTTTCGTCCGCACAGGTGTATCCGGTTCGTCTTCACTTACCATCAGAGCAGGGTTCCTATATCTGTCTGGATTTATCTCTTCGTCTGAGGAACCGTGCAGCGGTATGATGACCGCGTCCTCGTTAGGTATCCTGATGAACCGCCTCGGGTGCTTCTTCGGCTGTTCGATGGCTTCATAGCCGCCTTCTGTCTGAAGGATGGTGATGACCTCCTCTGGCTGAGCAATCGGATTCGGCTTCACAACTTCGTATCGATCTTCCTCATCGCGCTTCGGAGGTTCTTCCGGGCGGTAGGTTAGCCTTTCAGTTCTTTGAATGCTCTCTTCGACGTGGGGGCTCCTGACGTCAGGTTGGCTCGCTGCGCGCTGGGCTGGTGCCTGTATGGGTTCGTATTCGTGGTCGCTGAAACAAAAAGAAAAAAAACACGAAAATATAAATACAATTTTTAAAAGGATATTATATTTTACACAATTTTTATCTATTATGTTAAAATGTACTTTTTATATGAAACAAGTAACATAAAAACATTATTCGTCATATGCATGAAACAGTACACTGTGTTGTAAAATTGATTTATTCATTTATTAAATACCTCAGATCTTATAATTAATCGTACAGAATTTTATCCAAAGAAAGAACAATCCATTTTATCTGAGGTTATTACTACCTGCAATGAAAGTCTTAATCCTGACCTCGAATCTGAGATAAAGTGCCTTTGAAAAAAATAAAATATCACAACAGTCTCAATGTTTTGAATAATTATTTTTAATATTCAGATCTTTTAGTTATTTTTCTCAGGGAATCCACAAATAAAATAAAGTCTAAGTTTATATATTCATCTTTATTTTCTCCCATTGCACGTTTGCCAAATTAATTGTGCCATTTTTCAGTGTAATTTTGTATATCCATATTTGTAACTTGGAACAAAAATGGCCAATGTCCATGTATATGTCCATGTATAAAATTTTAAAACGAATCCGCTCCTATATAATAGTATAGAATGTTATAATTATTATTGAATGATATTTAATATATATATATACTTATATATATGTATACTTATAAACTTATAATATATGTGTATATCTATATATATATATATATATATATATATATATATACACATATATATATATATATATACATGTATACTTACATATATATATATATATAGATATATACACATATATATATATATCAGGGGCAGGGTACACCTTAATTGTAAAAATGGTCAATGTCCTCTAATTATTAGCTCTTGAGACTAGGTTATAATGGATGACGTAGGCCCTTTTAGCAATTAATGTTTATCCTACCTTGATTTCTTTCGTGCAGTTTGCTAATATATCATAGTTTTGAACATTGGTCCTTTTATGCAAATTATGCACCCGTAAATATGATTATTATTATAATTATCTCCATTTATTTTTTAAATATAAAGCAATATTTGTTTTTAGAGATCAGAACGGCTGGAAGGAGCGGCTTCATCCGTCATGTCTGTGGAGGAGGGGAGATAAGAGGGGGTTAAAAATTTTTAAAACGAATCCGCTCCTATATAATAGTATAGAGTGTTATAATTATTATTGAATAATATTTAATATAACGACCAAGGTAAATCTAAGTTGCGTGCTTTCAAATAAAGATGATCTTGGTAAATGTCCAAAATGTTGAACTCCTTTGATCTTTTCGAATAAGTTTGTCTCTCTTTACAGTGTATTTTTTTTTAATTCTTTTTTTGTCTCGATGCCTTGTCGTTGGCGTTATGTCAACAAGCGCTCAGCGAATGTTTTCAGTCCATCGAATTCCCCAGTGCCAAAAGTTGAGACTGACAAAACACCGAAAGGAATTCAGTTTTAATTACCTCCTTATTCGTTTTCCTTCAAATTATAATTACCTTCTCGGTTCAATTGTAAAAAGTAATTAAAGAGTAACTTGAAACTTAAAACTTAAAACTTGACATTATTAAAATTGCGACTATTTGTTGTGAATAATTTAAAATCTGATTATTATGCTATTAAATAATAATAAGATATCTTTCAAGTATAAATTTTTTTTTTCAATAATATTGCTACAGTACAGTCAAATTATTTTCAGCCTGTTTTTCTAGCATATTAAACAATACTTTTTAAAAATATTAATTAAATAATGGTTTCTTATTCGATTTTTTGAGATAAAAAATTTTAATTTTTTGATTTGTTTTGATAACGCTGATAATTTATACGAACGTGAGTTTGAGTTAAAAATGCAGTGTTAAGTTCGGCATCAGTCGTATAGCACTTCAAAGCAGTTTCATAAATGATCAAACAAAAGTCTACATAACCTTTAGTAGATATTTATATAATTACAGGTCTATTGTTTAGAATGTCTTCAACATTCAACAATGCCTATAAATTACCAAGCTATTGCAAGGATACCCATTATCCCAAGATTGATGGCGCATGAACGTCCCCTCCCCACCCCCCCTTCAAATGATATTTTACTGCTCTCCTCTTCTTAAAAAACTGTGCAAGCGAATACTTTCGCTATATTCAATTCTACTGAATTTAAAAAATCGTAGATAATAAACAATTACTTTTGCTGCAGTCTGTTCTATGTTTCCCCTTGTTTCCCTGTTTAAAAGTTCAGTTAAACATTTTCATTCCGAAAGCTCATATCTCCGTCGAAATGTGTCCGCTAAAAATTATGATGGCACAACTTGCGCCACGAAACCCACTCATGCTCAACTACACCAGAGGTCTCAAAACTACGGCCCACAAGCAACTGTAATCGGAGCTGCTGATGGTTCAGGTCATGATAAACTAAAAAAAATCATTTTAATTTTTTTTTATTACATCTTGATGATGAGTTGGCCAAAAACCTCTTAGTTTCTCCTCTCACCGAACTAACAAGAGTTTCTATCGGTTGAATTTGGTGCATTGAAGTTATTGGTAGATAATTGATTATACTTATTCTGCCATCACTAGCGGATCCAGGATTTAGATTTTGAGGGGCTTCAGTCCGAAAGATTTTTTTAATATATAACAATAATTACTTAGAAAGAAAAATAAAGGAACTACCTGTATGAAATAAAGTTTAAGTGATTCTTTAAGTACAATTAAATGTAATTGCACGATCAATAATACTTTTAGAGCTAATTATTAAATATTTTTTTCATACGACATGGTTATACTTTATCATTTTTGAAGAGGGATGGGGGCTTCAGCCCGAAAGCTCCCTTCTCACCGAAGATCCCTGTGTAGGCCTGCGAAATTTTCTTTGATTAATGGTAAGATAAAATTACCAACTACATGTGATAAACCGAAGTTATAAGATCAGAATAATAAGGAGTTTGCCTCACGGTATCGTTAGGATTTTCAACTTTATAGCCTGGGAGATGAGGAAGGGATGAATAAACAAATAAAATTCGTGGTAAAATTTAAAAATTATTTTAGAAATATGAATTTCGTAAATCACTTAAACACTATATTAGTACAATATTAATTACATGAGTTGTTTCTCTAAGAAATCCAATTTGACAACAATAGTTTCATTCATAGAAAAAGCTTTTTTTTTCTCATCACAAACCATGACCGAGGGACTTTACGGATATCAGTTCAACAGTATTCAAAACCTGGTGGAAGTTTTTATTTAGGGCACCATCCTCGAAGCCGTTGGGAATGTCGACAAGTTCGCGAACTGGCTGTAGAATTGCAGTGCTAGGAGCTGAGGTGGCCTATAAATATCGAGGTGTTGGCACTGGCCAGCGCTCCCTATATCAGGCACCCCGGCTACCAGATAGCTCAACTATTGTGGTCCGTCCTATTAACTTCATCCTGGTCAAGATGTGCTCAGCAACCATTGTATAATCTTGTCATGTAACATTGATTGTTAGGCTACGGACCCATTTCAAAAATCTGACTCTACCAAACTAGATATTTGATTCAATGGGACCGTTGTTCTGATAGTGACTTCAAAACGGTTTTGATACAACGCGATTAATCTCAAAATATTCTAAATTGCTCTTGAAGGTTTAATGATGTGTACTAGAATTAAGAGGCAATTTGGGATTTGTAGGATTTCTCTAAGGTATAATCTTTTCGACACTATAGCACATTTGGATTCACTAATTATAAAATATTGCTCTAAGGAAACCAATTTACGCATACAAAGTTATAAGAGATATAGTACTATTACAAAGTATATTTTTTTGTCTTATTGTAAAGAAATCGAAATGAATTTTTTTGTCTCTCTGGTGTCTCATAAATGACCTAACAGTTTGAGGTGGAATAGTATTTATTATTAGATTTCTGTTTCTCTCTCCGTTGAATTGTCGCAGGCAGTAAGTTATACATTTTAAATATTTTTTTCTGCAAGCATTATACACTTTTTCAATGTTATCACAGTTGGGGAGGAGAACTGATTATTCTATAAGAATAATCAACTTATTCTAACTAGAGTGAGAAGGTCCCACGTTCATTCCGTGGTTCTGCCACCAAATGAATTTCAAAAGGTTGCTAAGATGTAGCCTCAATATATCAGGCCTTCACTGATCCATTTTTTTTTTCTTTTTCTTTTTTTTTTTTATTTATTATCATTTTTAAAATCCCAGTTAAATGTTAAAATAACTTAAAATTAATTAAAATAAGTTAAAATTAATCAATCCCATACATATTTTCTTAAAAATACTAGATTTAATAATGGTACAGTTTAGTTTTATAACAAATCATCACGTACGGTATGTAAACAAAAGGACCTAATAAACTTCTCTCTCCCGAAACATTTTATAAAAAATAAAATTATTTCATGCACGAAAATTTGTATTATTTGGTAAATTGGATCGAATTGTTGAATACATCGGTTGGCGAATGCCATTATATCTTTAGATAAACATATTCATTTGTTGTTGCACAGAAAAAAAAAAAAATTTTTACCAAACAAAAAAAATATAATTTATTTAACACACAGGTTTCGAAGCATTTTCGAAGTTTTCAATGACAAAACATATCACTTTTTGTTGTTAGTATTTTCGTTAATAATAATGAATAAATAAATTAAATTTGCAAAAACTATGTCCAAGGAAAATGTTAAGATAAAAAAATTATAATATTTAGGAACGGTTCTTTTCCAGACCACATCTAAAGAGGAAACAGTGGGTTGCTTTCGCTACGTGCGTTGCCTGAAAAAAAAAACTTAGATGATATTATCATGGTGTACCATATGGGGAAGTATTTTGAAATAGACATACGCCGTAATTATACATGAAACAGTATGTTGTTTAGTGTATTAAAAAAACTTTAAATAAATTAATTCAAAGAAACCAAACATTAAAGAAGTTTATATATATATTTTTTTAGCCAAAAAATCGATGTTTGAAACAAGCTTTACTTCTGAAATGATTCTCTTCAATCTTTTTAAATTAAATTTAT